GCTGTTTTGCCATTCGTTGATGGAAAAATAATTGCGGGGAACGCGTTTTTTTTTTTTTTGAGGCACTGCTCTGTGAAGTCGAACGAAAGCCAGCAAAACATTGTAAGGCTTCGTATGAGTGTGTGTGTGTGTGTGTTATGTTTCGTTTTTCGCGTGTCCGCATGAAATTTTCGCTGCGCGTTCTTTGACAAAGTCCATCCGCAAATTTCCATCTCATGATAGTTGTTTTCCCTTTGACGGTTAACTGCGTTGGCCATTTTGAATAGCATTTGCAAAACATTTTTCTCAGTGGAGTTTGCAATGCATCAAATGCAAACTTGATAGTGAGGATGCTCAGAATCAGTAAGAGGATTCATTGTCCTCCGGAAGCGCGGTGAAGGGAGAAAATATTGCAGTAAAGAAAATTCACGCGACGAAAATAAGACGCACGAAAAAAAAAGCAGCCAGTTTGAAAAACAATATGCTGGCTCATTTAGAACAATGAATTACAGATTTTTGTACGTCAATTGCAGAACATGAGTACTTTTCCGTTATTTGTAAAAAGTGAAAAAAGTACTAGATCTTGAAAATGTATCTGGCTTATTCAACTCTTAAGTATTGCGGCATTTTCACCAACATCTGTAATTGCATATACAAAATTTGCAGCTCGTTCTGTCCAGTTTAGTTTTAAATGGCTGTCATCATAAATTCTAACGCTTTATAATAATTCATTCCAATAATTCTATGCAATAATCCTCCCCCTTCTGGGTTCATTATTTGAAAAGAAACCAATGGTATTAATTTTACACTGCTTGCTCACGAACTGGTTTGCGAAAGAAATTTAAATGCGTTTAGCGTTTCAAGAACAATTTTCGGAATCTCAACTGCTTTTTATGATTAACTTTTCCTTACGTTCGCCGGGGAATCCAGCTGTGAATGTATAATATTTGAACATACCGTAAATTGTTTTTCGCGAATATTGAAAACAAAATTCTTCGTAAGCTACAGAAAGGAAATCCGTTGGAAAGAGGAAGACCATCTTTTGGCTCGGAAACTGCAGCCGACTTGTTTTGCACACTTCGTCATATGGTTCCTTTCTCAAACAAGTTCGACGTTATTTCTCTCTCCCCCGTCTCTCTCGAACTTCTCAGGAATACGACACCAGAAAAAGTTCGCTCTCACACCCAGTACAGGTATTTTTCCCGCGATTTCCTCGCCTCTTAGCCAACCAACCCCCCCACACACTCACACGTGCAGAAATGAGCCCCCGGGTTGTGGTTGTTTTCGCCGCCATTGCCCGGATATGCGCGTGCAACGAACGAACGAAACATGGTTTTCTCTCTTATTCATGGCGGTAATTTTTGCTGTTCCCTGGGAGGAGAAATTGCGGTGTTTTTCCCCGAGGAGGAGGAATGAGAGAGAGAGAAAGAAGGTTCCTTTGCTGCGGTTGTGCCAAATTACACGGCAGACGAGACGAAAGTCCGTCCCTTTCCCCTCACCCCAGGAAAACGCCTCGCGTTTTTCCGTCAGGTCCCATCAGAGACGGGATTCAAAGTTCGACGTGCTGCACTGATCATCTTGATCCGGAATTTTCAATATTTGGTGCCTTTGAAAACAAATGAGTACTTGGAAGAAGTGATGACGCCATCAAGCTTTTGAACCCATAGTGGAAGATTGGAAAGAAGGGGAAAAAAACACACACACGGGAGAGAGAGAAACGGACTTTTTCGAAACTGGATCCCAGTCGCGGCGACAGGAAACCAGATGCCGGGTGTGTTTCCCGAAGCCCTGCTCTGCGGGGCATCGCGAAAAACTCCGCAGATGTTTCCTGTGAACGTCCATGTCCTGCCCCCCACCATATTTTCTAGAATTTGGCTTGAACTAGAAATGAGCATCTTTTCATAATTTTTTTCGATGCGGAAGAGCGGATGAGAGAATATTTTTGAGTACCGCGTCTGTCGCTGATCTTACCACGCTTTCAAAAAGTTACACAAGAACGCTTCGATTCGATGAATCGATAGTTTGAAAGACTTTCGTGTCTGGAGCGGATCGAAGTGGGAAAAATATGCAAGGCGATTCAATGGTGATGCGTGGGAAGGCCGACAAATAATAATGCTTTTGTAATGCTGAGGCTTTCCGTGAAGTTTTCAGTTCATTTCCCGTCTGCGTCTTTGACGCAATTCCGAATTCATTTCTCTCTATTCTGGTTTCAATTTAACAGAAGCGGATTTGAAATTTTAAAAATAAATGAACACGTTCCGATTCAGAGTGAGGAGCAATTTAAAATTATACTGCACTCGTTTCCGCGTTTTCAAACATAATTTACGTTCCACGGAAAATACTCTGAGCTTCGTAGAAGTAAAAAATGAGAATTCCCGCATTTCAATTCTCAGCTGATCCTTCGAAAGAATTTCCTTTCAATTGTAAAATCGAAAAATGTGCGCAGTATTTGTAATTCTTATAATCCCATTTAAACACAGGAAAGCAAAATAAACTTCAATTTTCAAAGCATAATTTCATACAGCTGTTCTTCATTATCACGGAATCCAGTTACACAACGTTAGAAATTTTAATCCTGCTGAAAATCACAGCTCCGTTGAAGTACACATAATTTTTTTCTTGCCATCTGATTGACAATACGACCTGTAGTTTCTTTTTTTTTTACAATAATTCAAGATAAAAAAAAATGTCCTCAGTTTTTAGTAAAAACAATCATCGCATGCACGCTCATGTTATTTTCAAAGAGTGGACCAGATAATAGTTGACGTATATTTCAAATCTGGCATCTGTCGTGAAAATCTAGCGAACTCTTGAAAAAACACAAAATTAATGTAATTCAATGTCAATGGAGTATATGTCACCTGTGTACAGTTTTATGCTGTTAGTTGAATGAGTATGCCCAGCAGACATATAAAAGAAAAAATACTTGAGATATTTGCTGTGTGCTTGCTTACTAGGCTTTAAGAAATTCTCAGCACGACTGTCATAATTGATCGTTCCCATCATTATTCGCAAGCGCTAAGCAGTTAATTCCAACTCATCTGGAAAAAAATCGTCCCAAAGATTGGCCAAATGAAAAGCCTCTTGCATGGTAAATCAATTCGAAAAAGATCACTGGAAGTAGATTGGAAAAAATGGAAAACTTGTCATGTGTTCATCAGCACTTTCATGTGCAGAACGTATATTTGAAAAATCAAAATTTTATGCAGTTGCCTATAGTAATTCCTCGCAAAGCTTTACAAATTACGTGTGCTTTCAATTGTCTGACTAATTCATCTAGGATTTTAGGAGCACAGCCCCGGAGCGCAGGGAATATTTCAAATATTTTTGCATACCTTTTTCAAGTACATTACAGCATCAGTGAAATAGTCAGCAAAGCGAATTCACATAAAATATCTCATAATAAGAGTTTTACCGTGTTCTTTCCCATTATGATTGCTTCATCTACCTAACAAGCCCGTCCTAATTACGCGTGCCCTTCCATACACTTGCGAGCTCAACCAGGCATCAGCACCCAAGCTCAGGCAGAAATAACATCCCCGAATGATCCTAATCAATCGAAAAATTCTTAAAACTTCACAGTTAAAAAAACCATCAAAAGAATACACCGGTCAGGTGTTCGGAAACAAAAGAAAGAAATTAAAATCACTACCTTCGTCTCTCGTCGTCCAAGAAAGAGCCAAAGAAATTTTCGGATGCCCCCTAACCCCGAAAGGTGAGGGGAAACCAAGACAGAAAGAGGGGATGGTACGAGGGGGAGGAGGGGGGGGGCGCAAGGTTCGGGGTGTGGGCATGAAAACGCGAAAAGGTGAGGTGAGCAGAGGTGGGGGAATATAATGCTTGCTTGAGGAGGGCACACAGCCAGAGAGAGAGAGAGAGAGAGAGAGAGAGAGAGAGCGAGAGAAGGAGACAGAGAAAAATAGAAAGAGAGAAGAAACACAGAGAGAGAGAGAGAGAGAAAGAGAAAAACACGTGGAGCGGGGCGCAACGTGGTCGAAAGCCGGATACGCTGCGTCGCGTGTGACAGCGAACGGCAAAGGAGAGAGAGGGAGAGAGCGCGCGAGTGACGTGGGATGATTAATGATGGCCGCTCCCGACGCGCGCGGGAGCTCCGGAACATACAGAAACGAAACGAACTCGGGCATTTTATTTTTTTTTGTATCCACGAACTCTCCTTATCCCCTTCTCCAAACCCACCCTCTCTCTCTCTCCCTCTCTTGGAACTTGTCTCTCTCTCTCATTCTCCCATATCCTCCCTCTTTTCTGCTCTGGCTCAACAACATGCAGCAAGGATCATCCCAAAAGTTCCCGCATGTACGGGGAAAAAAGTCTGTAGATTGCACCATAATATACAGCACTGTATTGAATTCAGTACTGCTACAGAAACTATAGAACAATAAATCCCTACATCAAAAGCATGAAAAACGCCTGATAAAGGAATAAAAGAGATTATTCCTAATAGGGAATACAGCATTGGTATATTATAGTGTACCACTGTTTCTTTTATTTTTGTTATCAATTTGTGCTTTCCTGCTCTGAAGTGATTGAAAATGTCATTGAGTGGATTTGGGTTGGGTGGGAAGGGGGTTTGGTTGTGGAAATCTTGATTGAACCTTATTGTGAACGCTGAAAAGCGGCAAAGAAAGTGTTCTGTTCATTCATTCATTCACAAAAAATTGGTTTTGGTGATTCTTGGTTCTTCAAACATTTGGGAATGAAATTTTATAGGAAAACAGGTAATACTGTACATGCTTTGACGTGCTTCAACGACAGTTATGTGGTTCAATTGCCATCATTTCCAACTTATTTTGATGAAATAATGAGTGAAAATTCGAAATGTAAAATACGATTCTCTTTGTTTCAGACCTCCACTTTTTATTAAAATACTGTACTGTATATAGGATCTTCGCTTGCTATGGTGACAAAAATATTGTTGAATTATCTCGTTCATTTCGGAATACATAACATGCGTGGATGCATTCATCTGATCTTGCTTTTCACCTCGTGTTCTCAAGTGTCTTGTCACGTCTTATGTTATCTTGCTGCTCATCGCGGAATGTGTGTTTTTGAGATAGTAATTGCTATAGTGATCACCCCTGAGCAAAAGCGTAGTTTCTTCCGGACACTTGTCGAAAAGTGCCCCGCGTTAGAATTTTTATTTTTGCTTTTTTTTTCTGGGTGTTGATGTGTGTGTGTGTGTTTTTTTTAATGAGTTTAAAATGATACTGAAGTCGTTATACTCGTGATTTACAGTGGGGAGAGCTGCGTTCTTTGAATTGTGGACTCGATGGAGCCGAAGTTGGAGTCGGAAGAAGAAAACGCCGAGAAGAAAGTTCACGTTTTTCATCTTGATTCGATCTTGGAAGAAGTCGGGCAGTTCGGAAAATACCAACTTAGACTCCTTCTTTTGGTTGGACTCGTGTCAGCTTACGCGTACAACATCACGTTGTCCTTTAGCTTTGTCGGTTTCGTCCAGGATGAAAGGTGCGTTTCGATAAGTCCGCTTATTACAGATTTAATTTTCGATATATTTTATGTAGCTCTTTGTATTTTGTATGTGGTCTACAACAGTGTCCCCCAATTTTTTTCTGTTCGCGGACCAGTAAATTTACATAAAATTTTCTGCGGACCGACAGAGTTTAATAACATTTTTGCAGAGTTGAAAAAAATTTGCTTGGAAGACTTCATGGCAGGAATTTAAAAATTTTCTGCTTTTTGCAAAAATTAAGTTGAGAACCAGTGAAGCGGCTTTATTGAAATGCCTTCGAAAAATGTGGAAGATTTATCAGAATGAAACATTGAAATAATTTATTTCAGCGGATGAAACTTTGTTGAAAGCGTTATTTGGAGACAAGCCAACTTTTTATTTTTCATCCGATAAACTAATTTCAACTGCAATTGTCTTTCCGAAATTTCATATGAAGATAACAGACTTGATTGCTACTTTCGATGGAATTATTATTCTGAAGAAAATTTCTTGCGGACCAGCAAAAATCTTCTGTGCACCTGCGCTGGTCCCCGGACCATGGGTTGGGGAACAATGCTCTCTACTGTACTTATTTTTCTAATGTTTCAGTCCTTGGTTCTTCTCCTGCTTCAGGGATGTCAGACAGATGTCACTTGTATCATTAGTTCTGGAAAAAGTACGTTAACAGAGCCGGAAACTAACCTAACGCTACCTGATCAACCGAATAATTAAAATCGATCATACCTGTCTTATCTCAATTGCATTTGAGCTCAAAAATGTATGTGACCCCCATATTTTATTGAAGGAAGTAACGAATAAATATATAAAATCAAGGACGTCTGACATTGAATTGAGACTAAGCTTTTCTTTTATATGCATTGATTTTCGTTAGACCAGTGACGTTTTGTTTCTGTGGGAATTTCCGTCTATTCTTTGAATCTAATTGCTCTAATCCTCGGGAAAATGATAACGCTGAACATACGGCATAGTAGGATACAGTAAATATTGTAGTTTAAAAATGTTGAATGCTGCTTGGACCGTTAAAATAAATATGAAACACTTTATTCAAGTACTGTACTTCGCATTGATTTCTTGCAGAATTTTGTTATGCTTTTTTAAAAATTGGTAATTACAAAAGTTTCCTGAGTTATACCTCGATAAAAGAAACCAATGTCCATCTGTCTGATGTATTCGTTGAGCAGTTTTTAATAAAATTTGTAATCCTTTAAATTTTATAAGTATCGGGACATCATCCTCAAAGATCAAAACATTCAGTTACTCCTGAAATATGACATGAAAAAAGTGGTCCAACGTTTAACCTTTTTTTTTCTGAAGCCGAAGAAACAAGTGAGTCGAAGAATAGTTGATATTGTTGTTTTTTCTCAAAATCTGTACGAAATCGGGCGAACATTTTTTTTATAGACGAACGAGAGTTATTCTTTTGCTTTTCCTGATCATCAAACAATTTTGAGGCAATGTACCTTATTGTACTCGGTTATCGTTTACAGCATTTCTTTCGGACAAAAAAACCCTTTTTATTTTGAATGCCTTTGATTTTTTCCGAATCCTGCTGTTGTTGAAAATCAATCCAAACATTACATCACGCTGATATTCGCGACTTATTGTTAAAAATTTGCGTTTCATTCATCAGGTGCTTCGTGCCAAAGTGCGACAGCAAAGATGCGTCGGATTTCAAAGCGTCTCACATCAACTTCACGATTCCTTTCGAGGACGGGGAACCCGTGGGCTGCAAGCGATACGAAACCAGCCAAAACGATGAGGAAAACCGACTCTTGTGGCAATTGAAAGAGTTTCAGGGTGCCGATGGGGTGTGTGTCGGAGTCGATGACTCATCGTGCGTCCCGGAATGCTTTTCGCGAGACAAAAAGATCAAGTGTGATCATGGCTTCGTATTCGACACTTCCGTCCGAAAAGATTCAATCGTTTCGAAGGTATTTTCTGTTTTTTTATTTATTTACAGTATTCATTTTGTTGCGAGTGTCCGGGATTTATATAGCAATGGATGTTAATGGGAATTTAAGGCATGCTATTTCACTATCTGAAATCCACCAAGTACTGTGAGGAGTTCCCGGAGAACTTTGGAGAATATTGGAGAAAATTGTCGTTAGGAGAAACTTGGTTCGAATTTAAGATGAAGTTAAAAGGTGTGCAAAAGAATTGGCAAGAACTGGGGTATCCTTGTGATTTAAGGGACTGTACAAGGTTATTCATTGATCGAATGCTGTTGATTTGCAGCCTAAAAATAACATTGATTTGCAAGATATGGGATGTCGCTAATATACTGGCGGACTCTCTGCAAAAAAACTTCAAGGGACCGGAAAAAAATTCGTTGTAGAGATGATTTCTTTGTAGAAAGCCCCTATAACACAGCGAGGGAACCGTGAAGGACCGAAGAAAAATCTATCTATACGGAGAAAATCGTTGGAGACAAGATTATTGAAAAGATAGTCCATCTGTATAAATATATTGTCAAAATGGCTTCTCAGGTCGAAAAGAAAATTGAATTGCTGTACTGTATATCTATTTTCTTTTGTATAGTACGAGCTGGTTTGCGACGATCACTTTTGGCACACCATAACTGGCAGTGTTTACATGGCCGGAATGCTGGTGGGCTCCATTTTCGGCGGATTGCTGGGAGACAAGTAAGACTTGATTTTCAAGTTTTTTTTTTCTTTCTCGAAACGCGTGCTATGTCTTTTCGTTAGGTCCAGCAGATGTAATGTAAATCTTTAACTTGACCGCACATGAACTGAGTCGAAGTGGAATTTACCAAAACCGTATAAAACTTTACGAACATGCGACATCTATGTGACTTTACTCAGAGCATAAGGTCATGCGTTTGAAAGATGAAGACGCGTAAATGTGTTACTGTCGTGAACCATTTTGACCGTGAATTTATGAAACGTTGATTTGAGTTACCCCTGTTATGCAGAAAAAATAACCCGAAAGCCTCAAACAATTTTTGAGGGTAATTTTATGCGCAATGGTTCTCTATTCACGATTTTCTCCAATGTTACGTAGATGTCGCCTGAAGTTTCAGGAGTGGATTCGTGTTTTTCGATGTGATGAAGCTTTGGCCGACTTTCCTGATGGGGATGTTTGTGTTAGGAGTGGAAGGACCTTATAATTTTTGTTTGCTTCAAATATTCTGTAGAATCTTCCGTCGTTTACTGTAGGGTTGTTCTGATGGTCCTAACGACCATTCTTACTTTTACAGATATGGAAGGAAACCTACGATGCTGATGACCTTGTTCTTCGCTGTTATTCCTGGTTGCGCCTCTGCGTTTGTCAACTCATTCGCTTTCTTCCTGGTCTGCCGATTTTTGACTGGTATCGGAGAAAAGGGAATTTTCATGAGCTCCTATGTGCTTTGTAAGTTAGAGTACGCGGTACTTGTTAGTTCATGTGAGGACGCCATGTCAGAATTCAAGGCTCAACATGCATTTTTATCTCTTAGTGATGGAGTTGATTGGCCCGAATCGAAGGACGCTTATTGGACAAGTGGTGCAGATATTTTTCGCTGCCGGAGGCATTTTCGTCAGTGGGGTCGCATACTTCATCAGGGGTTGGTTGCCCCTGCAGCTCGTGCTCCATGGCGTTGGTGCTGTCTTTCTTGTCTACTATTGGTAAGGCCCCAATTTTTGGGCCGAACTGAGAATGAAAAGGGGTGAAGAGAAAGTTTGTGTTTGCAATCATTTTAAAGAAAAAAATTTCATTTTTATAAATGCGATATCTTAAAAAATTGAGCCTCTTTATATTAAAAAAATTTATACATTATATTCACTCAATTTCATGATTAAAAAGGCTTATTTTGTGCCTCTTTTTTTGGAGTTTTTTCCCCCCATAAATTATGCACAGTATACCAAAACTTATCCTTTTTCTAAGCTACTTCTGATGCCAAAAGATAATATTTTGTGCGATTTTCTTCTGCACGCTTATTTTCTGCAGTATTTCAAAGTTGAGAAACCGATTTTTTTCAAAATTTTGGGGACTTATTTCTAATTCTTCTTATATACTGGAGAACCAATTAAATGAGTTCCCATTGAAGTCTATGGGACAATTTTATCTGACACGTGGACACGCCACAATATGGGCAATAAGGTAATTACTAGAATATTATGAGCTGGCATCAAAAGTAGCACTGAATAAGAACGGGTCATGCTACACGGTGCACACGTGATGAGAAAAACTGCAAAAAAAGAAGCACAAATTAACTCGCATTAATTATGAATTTGAGTGAATATTAATAAAATTAATTTCTATGTATTTTTGTTCATGTAAAGCAGCTCATTTTTTTTCTTCTAGCAAAATAAGAATTTTGAAAAACATTTCCCGTTTCCTAGAATTGTTGAAAAATTTTCAGTATCTTCGAGACATTGTCCGGATGTTGAAGCAGATTTTTGTGAATTTTCAGTTTCCCTAAGTATCAAATCGTTCAATTACGTCTGCATCTCGTGGGCCCCACTGTAGAACCAAAAATAATTCCCTGTATGTCGTTGAAAGCTAATTTATTTAATTTTTGGATCCTGCTGTGAAGGATTTTGCCGGAATCCCCGAGATTCCTCATGTCGAAAGGTCGCGTGAAAGAGGCGTATGCCATTGTTCGTCGTCTGGCGGAAGTCAATGGGAAAGAGATCCCTCCGCACATGTTGCCGGATCCTGACTCGTACGAACATTCCGCTGTGGTGGACGAGCAGAAACACGAGTCCCTGGTGAAACTGTTCTACGACAAAGGAACAGCCATTCAGTTCCTCATCATTTGCTATTGCTGGTGAGCTTCGACGAAGATTATTCGCCGCCACGATTGAAATTTACCGCCGTTGGGACAAAACGCGAGGGTTGTCTCCCACTTATTGGGTGCGATATTGGTTATTTCTGGAGTAGGGTTAACTGTGAAAAGAAAATTATGATATAGCCCATGATGATGTGAGGTTTTGGATATTTTTTTCGAATCCGAAAAATAATAATAATTTCAATTTACTGCGTGATGATGAGTGAAAACTTTCCAGTTATGGCCAAAGTTCTCCACCCGTGTCACAGGGTGATGAAAATTTGCAGGCCAGATAGAAAATTTGAATTTTTTTTATAAGTTTTAGATAATGGTTAGGACAACAAATAAGTTCGAATTTTCTGCTGGTCTGGCAAATTTTTATTGATTTTATTTCCATTATGATGAGAATGCTTTTCTCTGTTCATTGATGTTCTTTCAAGTCTGAAACAATCAATTTTATGGTCTTCATAAGGCATATGCTGTCATTCTAAATACGTGTCATGTAAAATTAGAAAATTGGTGGGAGTCTCTGAATGGTTCAGATATCAAATGCATGTACATACTATAATGGAATGATCAGGAATTGTTTGAATCAACAATTTGAATTTGAATTGGATTTGAATGCCATTAATGTAGATTCGATTCCATTCTTTAACTTTTTGAAACTAGAGAAATAAACAGAAAAATACCCTAGAAACATGGAAAACAATACGTTCAGTGAAATGAAGAACATCAAAAGCTCCTCAATTTCTGAAATTTTTATTTTAATGAAACGAATTTTTCATTTTTTCGCATTAGTGTTTCTGTAATCGGAAAAATGCAAGCTTTGAATCTATGTAAGTTCAAGGAACAGATTAATGACTCTGTGTAGCTTAATACGGTAATAGTCAGTTAGTGGTATTTTTGAGACCAGATGCTATAAACCCTTAAAAATACTGTAGCTTTTAAATGACTAAAAGTTTACTTACTTGTCGGATTACAGACTCTCCGTTGAAATAAATTTAGTCGCGTTAACCAAGGCATCGTTTGTATTGGGAATTCTTTCAATTAGGCGGATTGCTTAATTGAAACAATTCCTTTCTTCTTTTTTTGTGAAAAAAATAGGTTTGTCAACGTGCTTGTTTACTACGGACTGACGTTCAGCTCGACGGACATGACGTCGAATGCGTATTTGGGCTTGACGTTATCGTCGCTCGTTGAAGTGCCAGCGGATTTGTTCGCGGTGGTCGTTTTGGAGAAAATTGGACGACGGGTTCCCTTTGCCGCCTTCATGCTTATCGGAGGGATGGCTTGCATCGGAGCTGGTTTCATACCCGAAGGTACCTACGAAGAAACCCCTTTGGTTTTCCATTTAAATTGAGGGTTCCCCGCTTGAAGAATGTTCCCCTTTTGACGATAATAACGCATTGGGAACTTCTTCATTTGGGGGAAAAGGACTCGCTGATAAAATTATTTTTGCCAATTTACGCTCGTATTTTAGCCGATTTTTGCTAAATCTTTGACGTTTTTCAAAATAGTCAAACCTCGGCAAGACGCAAATCATTTTTTTTTGGGTGAGGTTTAACGAGGTTGGCGGTTTGAAGGGTTTTTATCGAAAAAGGTAAAATAAGATGAAAATTAATTATACTGTAATACAAAAACAAAATCCTCTTTCTTCTGGATAACAATGAAACCATAACCCTGGGATGCGGTAAATTATATCTCGCTTGTGTTCCCAAGAAGTAAATTATACTGTCATCGATGTGCTAATTTTTAAATACAATATTATTTCAATTGGAGACCTAAAAGTTGAATCTTTTTGGCAGGCCTTGAAATGCAAAATTAACTGACAGGAGCATATTTGAGCTGTCCATCATTTTGTCAGATGGGGTTTCAACGGGGTTTCCAATGCCTTTATGATTAGGGAAGATTTTTTGTCTGAATAAATTGGCGGTTGCTGAGGGTGGCGACTCATCAGGGGGCGTCTTAGTGGGGTTTTACTGCACAGTACTGTAATTGAAGATAATGACTTAAGTACTTGTAATAAGTGTACTGCATACGGGTGAATTCTCTCAGCAGCGATTTTGTCTACAACGTTTTTTTTGCTTTTTGGCACGAGTTCTCCACGAAAAATTTTTCTGGTACCCGTGATTTCGTTGTAGAGGGAGAAAGAGAGAGTCCACCTGTAGGTGTGCCTTTTTATATTGAAAATTTATGAAATTGCGGAAGTGAAGATGAGTTGGATTTTATATTTGAGCCAATAGAGTGTATCTCCAGTGTAGAAATTCTAGAGATTAATTCCTGGAATTTTGTTTCCCTTCAGATTTGTCGGCTGTTGCGATGGTGCTGTCGTTGACGGGCAAACTTTGTATCACTGCATCTTTCAACGTCGCTGTGAGTTTTTTGTCGCGTGGGAGATTCGGAAAAGTTTAATCTTTCATTTTTTTTGTGGCGCGAAATGATGACTGGATTGAAACTTTTCAGTATTTGTACACTGCTGAATTGTACCCAACTGCCATACGGAACGCGAGTATTGGTGCTGCATCTATGTGTGCTCGCGTCGGCGGCATTATTTCTCCGTTCATTGCCGACCTGGTAAGTTTTGTTTTTCATTTATATTTCTTTTCTGCGAAATTTTAATTAATTAGAGTTTAAATTAATATCATTGTGTTTCCTGAAGCATAGAATCCCCCCTTATAGAGTTGTTGCTTGATTACCATGTTTACCCTCATTTGTGAGGCGTGGACCCCGATTTTTGAGGAAAAGCAATCCCTGCATGAGACGCGTAAAAACTGAATTTTTTCACGAAAATAAATGCTGATATTTGAAATTTAGACTGATGCAGTTTGAATTCAATTGTGCTGCATGTGATGTTTGTTTCAAATTTTCGTCTGCCAGTTTGATTTGAGCCTAAATATGTAATTTTACTCTTGCGATCTCTACAAATTATTCTCCCTAGCTTCACTGAATGCGTATGATGCGCTTGAAAATGTACAAAATTTGCAGGTACATTTTTACTCCAGTATGATGTGCTCTCAAGTTTTTGAGCTTGATTTTCGAGGAAAAAATCTGGGGGTGGTACAGTACTTGAGTAAATACAGTTCAAGCTTTCCACTGCCTATTACAGTTAACTCTTACTTCAACAATTTTGTCTTCAATACTTTTATCTGTACAGAATAAAAAAAATGTTTGGTCCCATAGGAGTCTCTACCCATTGCATAGAGGTTTTCTAGAACAAAATTGTCTACAAGAAATTGTTTTCTGGTCCCCTGAATTTCATTGTGGAGAGAGTTCACCATACATATTTTTCAACACTTGTGCACCAGACATCTTAATTTTTAGGAAACAAGCAGCAGTACTGTACTGTACTGTAAAATCTCATTACAGCTAACTCCCAGGGACCTGAGAAAAAATGTGTTATATTGAGATTAATGATTTTTAGCACATTTCAGACTGGGATTTTATTGGAAATGAGGAATAAATAATTTAAAACAGATAATTCTAGACCTAGCATAATTAATGCCCAAACATTTTTTATAACAGGATTTTTCATAACATTATGCCTATGGGAAATTGCCAGGACTACAAAGAAATTTGTTATGATGAAACATTTGTCATTACAAGATTTGTTGTAACAGAATTCTACTGTATGAACAAAGCCATTGGAACTAGGAAAAATTTTTCTAATACAAGAATCTCGTTGATAAGGAAATCCAAATAACATTGTGGCTATCAGGGAGGGCCACAAAAAATAGTGATGAGCAATAATTCATTATATTGAGATTTCACTGGGCATTACTTGACTGTGTGCCTCAATTACAGTGTACACTCTTTCAAAGTTGCCAGGAAATAGACGTCATTTGAAGTTCGTATGTATACATTGTTCATTATCATTTATTAATTTTGCAACAGAGCTCAATATCGTCTGCAATCCCGTTGCTGGTGATGGGATCGTCTGCGTTACTTGGAGGCGTGTTGGCACTGAATCTACCGGAAACGCTTGGGATTGAACTTCCGGAAACTCTGGAGGAGTCCAAGAAGTTGACGGACAACAGCAACCACTTGTTTGTTTGCCTCAAGAAGAAAGATAATGAATACAAGGCTTAATTGAATTTTAAAAACCCTGCAACGCGACCGGTGAATGTGACGCAGTACAGTATATAATTTGCATTCAACCCGTGTTTTTGAATAAGTGGAACACCAGCACGAAAAGTTGCCTTTAGCTTCTCGGACTACGGGAAAATTAATGTCTGACCGCGATATATGTCAATTTCCAGATTATATAAGTACTGCAGTGCAAATTTTTTTGTTGTTCGTGAAATGACTGGGCGCAAGAAACCAGTTCCTCTGGAGGAGAAACGGAAGCGTTTGCTGAACCTCATTTCTCAATCAGGAGAAGTTTATCTGCTACCTGTGAGTATATTTCAAGACACGGGGCTCTCTTTCTTCGAAATACAGTGAAATCTCCTTTACAGCGAAGGTGTTGGGATCGAAAAAACAGCTTCGTTAATGCGACGAATTCGTTGTGAAGCGATTTGAATTGCATTATTGCTATTAGGCGGGGACTGGAAAAACGATTTTGGGGTGCCTAATAATTCGTTGTAACAAGATTTTAATGTAACACCCCCCCCCCCCCCCCACGATTATCCTTTTTGTACATCGGGTATCTAGCAAAAATGTGTCTTGGGATATCGTGCGATTCGGTTTTTTGAATTTATGAAATGTGCCTCATCTCTGTGCGAAGGAACTGGAAAAACTGGGCAGTGAAAGAGGCATCGTCGCACAGTCTGTGAAAGACGTCCTTTCTGCCTTGGTTGATGACAATCTCGTGGAGTCCGAGAAGATCGCTGGATCCATTTACTTTTGGTCGTTCCCTGGCAAGAAAGTCGCCGATCGCCGCCAAGCGCTCGAAGAAATCAAGAAAAAACTCGGGAAACTGAAAGACAGGCATGCCAAGGCAGAAAGAGCATTGAAAACGGCCAAAGTGAGTCTGGCCCTCGTAAAGAAATCTACGTACTGCTAGGGCATCATTGGGAATCTTCCCTTCATGATTTCAGAGTTTTTCCTCTCAATGTGAAGTGTAAGTGAATTGATTTTGAATTATTTGATATGTATCAGAGCTGTGTCAAAGAGCATCGTCCATGCATAAGCTTTTTTCAGAAGAATCTGAAGTTTATGGTCAACTTTTAGGGCCGTACGTCTCGAAATTGCAAGATGATGATAAATAATTACTTTCAGACGTTACAGTATCCAGTATGAGCGAATTAAGCCCACCCGATGCGATTACATCACAATTTTGTATCACAAAAAGTCTCGATTATTTTCAAGGAAAATGCTGAACCTGATCCACGAAGGGACAAACTAATGGCAAAACTCGAAGAGAGAGAAGCTCACCAACAGAATCTTGTGGAGGAACTTGATGATCTTAGACGGAGCAGTTCAAAAATAGCGGAGGAAACTGAAATCGAGATGCAGGTATGTTCTTGCCACTTTTGTTTGGTGAAGAGCCTTCTTGGAGTGACGGTTGCTCGTATTCGTATTCGCAGCGCGGAATGGACGCTGCCAATCGGTGGACCGACAACGTGTTCCAAATACGCTCTTGGCTTGTAGAGAAGTACCAGGTTGACGGCGTAATGCTCAACAAACGTTTTGGCATTCCAGAAGACTTCGATTACGTTGACTAGTTTCATCATTTGCGAAAAGAATCTTCTTCATATGATTCGCATTACTTTTTCAGAAATAAAATTGTGGCAGAATTATCTGGATCTCGTAACGCATGATTTGGATTGACTTTCTCTCATAAACATAGGACAGAAGAAAAATAAGTAATACTTTCTGTGATAAGTCAGTGTATTCCATTTATCACTGGGAACAAAAACTTTGAAGACTTTGCAACATATTCGCGCTCCATCAGAATCTGAGCTATACACTAGAGATGAAGGCTAAGAAACACAAATTTCCCGAACAGATTATCGATAAAGATGATCAGCTTCAATATTTGCGGCTATTTCCGCTTCCCACTTATCACCGTTATTCAGTAACTTCTCCTTATTGTACAATAATTCTTCGTGCGTCTCCGTCGAAAACTCGAAGTTCGGCCCCTAAGATAAAAATGTTATGCATCAGTGATGCGAATAAAGCCAACCATTCACCAGCTTCACTCACCTCTACAATAGCATCGACAGGACACGCTTCTTGACAGAAACCACAGTAAATGCATTTAGTCATGTCGATGTCGTACCTCGTCGTCCTTCGACTCCCATCCGCTCGTTCCTCCGCTTCAATCGTGATGGCCTGAAAAACGATGGAAAACAATTATCAACGAAAGTTGGGGCAGTAAGCACAAGCCTAACATTTTTCCGAGTTCAATATCAATTGGATTGGAGAAATACCATGATGTTCGGATTATTTGTAAGGGACAATAACATAAATTAAAGAGAGTGAAGCTCCTGCGATTAGTCATTGAATAGTTTAAAAGCTGATGGTTTTTTTTCAAAATCCCAAAATTGTAGATACACATTTTGGATGAAGGTGCATAAATTTCCATGATAAAAAAAAAAAAAAAAAAAAATTGGGCAGAAACATTCCTAAGGTACTTTTACAGCTGACTCTGCCCAATTTTATACATCTGTTGATGTAGTTGAAGCAAGGAAAGGTCCTGGAAGTACTTCAAGCACGTAGTACGTGTTCTTGTAGACAAAGTTGGAAAGCGGTAAAATTCCACATAAAACCATGAAAGCAGAGCAGGAAAAAAGATGAACCATTGGAGGCGCGGGGGAAAGTTTCACCTGTGCAGGGCAAACAGCTTCGCAGAGCTTGCAGGCAATGCATCGCTCCTCACCCGACGGATATCTTCGCAAAGCGTGCTCACCCCGAAACCTCGGGCTCAGAGGACCTTTCTCAAACGGATAATTGATCGTCGCGGGCTCCTTGAAAATCGTTGCTGTCGTCATTCCCATTCCTGTTGGAAAGAGGAAACACATAATTCCTTTTCAATGAATGCAGGAGAAAAAGACACGGAATTCGTCACTATTAGTTCCTTATTACAATAAATATGTCACTACATCCTGAACAACGAGGAATCTTGCAGATCAAATATAAACCCTCAAGGCACTCAACTCTCAAGTGAACAATAGCTCATCCGTTTCAGCATCGTTTTGTCGTACCAGCAAAAACATCCATTACGCTTAAAGACATGGATAGCGAGTATCAAGTGTTAACAAATGAAAAATATTTTATTTTGAATTCTAAGAAGGTTACCTCGGTATGTCACGAGCACAGCCCTGAAAATTACAAGACTTACACATTAGCATGTTTCCTTTACAATTATTGAGTAGTATATTGCGTCAGTGATCTTCCAAATACTGTACTGTAGAATGTGAAGAAGAAGAAAACTTCTGGAGAAAAAGGGCTCAATGAGATAGTCTCCCACGTAGAAAGCGGAGAAACCGCTACATCACTTTTATCCAGTCTACGAAAAAATGTCAGCATTATCCAAATTCCCAATCATAAGCATAGGCGGTTCTTAAATTTACTCTCGTTCGAATCGTAACTTAATCTGCTTGCACTGAGGAGAACAAATGTCAGCAGTTGAAAAATTGAACCTCAGATTTCGTGGGCCACCAGCAACAATTCTCATCCATCACCTAGGATTAACCAAGAAAGAGTTTCAGAATTACTGTATCACAAGTATCTACCGTAGATACTGAGTAAAATTTCAACAGGGGTAATACAATCGCCGTTTCGACTGTAAGCGACCTCTATACAAACCAAGGCCAAACGCTTTTTCCAGATTCAGAGTAACCGTACTTACCACGGAAGAAGTCCTTCATGAACGCAGCCTGAGCAGCACGATCCGACAACGACGTGAAATCGAGGCTTTCTTCGGGCTGAGTAACGATTTTGTAGCACGAGCGTCTCGGCACGTTGAAATAAACTACAAAAAAACCGGAAAATATCTCAACAACTTTTTCCCAAGCCAAAAAAATAAGCATATGTTTCTCACCTTTCGCAGAAGACATCCCAAGTGGCCGGGACCACACAGTTCGGCACAACGGATTCATCACAAAAATCCAAAATCAATTTCACCGCAGTTCCTGCATAAAAGAATACAATTTACTGTTAAATCAAGATAAACCAGAGCAACTTCTCTGGTAGGAAGACAACCGATTACGTCATGTCGGCGAACACGAAGACACACATCAGTTTTCATCGCCTCACATATTTTCCAATCTATTTTCAAATTTTAACTCAACAACACCCCTTAGTCACACAATTTTAGATGTTCTCAAGTAAAATGATAGGGCGTATCCAATTTGAAATGATTCGACTGTCTTGCATTGCTCAGAACTCAGTCCACATGTGTGTCCACCCTACAACTAAATCGTTCTGGAATACCTGTAATCCACTAAGCTTGAAATTGCGTTTGTCATGATGAGAAAATCATCAACATATCATTTAAAATCAATGAGAAAATCATAAATGGATAACAATTCACGCATTAAAAAATTAACTCAATGCATCTCTTATTTTAGCTCCATAAACTTGCTCGCTGGGATTTTACAAAGATGACGTCTAGCTCATTAACCCAACTTCAGTCACATACAACTAAACTTGAAACCACGAATGTAATGCTTACAGATGAAATAATATAATGCAAGCAATTAGCGACACCTGTGTGACAAGAATAAAAATGAAGGGGTCTTAGATGCGTACAAACAAAATCCAAACGTGTAAGTGCCGTATAAAAAAAAGCCTACAAGGGGGGAAGAAGTTTTCTTAGTCCATTGAAAAATCTCGTAAGAATAGTAAATATCCTCACGCTTGGCAAAACGATGAAAACTGATGGTCGGATGAACATGATATACAAAAGATAAAATCTTCGGCAAAACCTTCTTCTTCACGGCGGGCTTCAAAAAAACCGATGCATAAAAAAAACTGACGCAGTTTGATGGCGAATGGGAATGACAGCGGCGTCCACCTCCGTCGCGAAAAATGCCTTTACACGCGTTGAGCATGGGTACAGTACAAAAGTATTTTAAAAGGTCAGATCAACCTCCTCCGACTTCGCACAGTCCACGAGAACTTCGAAAGGCACGACCGAAGCAGCGGACTGCCTGTTCTTCTTCTTCTCCGCCATCAACGAATCTCGTTTCTTCTTCGCAATCTGCGCCGGACCCACGTATTCGTGTTTCCAACTCAAATCTTGCTTTTCTTCCTCGAGACCCGTGCGGTCCAACATGGCCTCCAATTGTTCGTCAGTGATGCCTGAAAAAACCAAAATGAAACGTTAATCCGCTCACTGACTTTCAAATCTCATCAGTGGCATAAAAAAAAATACTCGAGATAAAGTATGGCAGGTAGTTAGAACGAAAAATTTATAGTACACAAAAAATAACCAATGCACTAGTTTTTTCTTCCAATTAACCCAATACAGTGAAATCTCGTTACGACTCCAGGAAAGAGCTTACTTATACATTATAGATTATAACACACATCAAACATCGGCATAAAGAAATTCAACCAACATTGTGCCTATTTACTTTGAAATTAAAATTCTGTACGTTATTTCAAAATTCGCTGTAACAAGATCCTGACGTATTTAAAAATTTCAGCGATATTTTGGGAGACGCAAGCACTGAAACATGAAAACGCCCCGAATTTTCAATTCAATTGCCTTCAGAAGTATCGCAACAATTGAAAAATTAGCGCGTTTTTATTTTTGGGAGACGGAAGCCATCAAAAACGAAAACGCACAAAATTTTCATTAATTGGATTATGATGTATTGAATAAAAAAAAAGACCACGAGAACCAAAGCAAAACTTTGCATGTCATTCGCGAATACTGTACTGTACAGTACGTCAGGTCAATCTTTATTTGAGTTCGAATTCAGCTTTTCAGCATTCACAATTTCTGAAATACAGTACCTGTAATAATTCAAATGCGTTCCTCAATACATCAGCAATTTTTTTTTTCAAGTTAATTTTCATTGGAATCACCACAGAAATCATGGAATGAAAGATACAAAGCTTAAGGAAGGTCATTCGATGACAAATGATCAGATACTTTTCAATTGGTATAATCGAGAAAACGTCGCACGTAATAATCCAAGTTGTAAAAAAAAAAAAAAGTGAAAAAGGCATCAGACACTCACAAGCTTTGGAAGAATCCACAACAGTGGCACGATTCAGGTTCTTGAGCTTCTTGGTCACTTCGTCCATCACGTTCTTCTCTTCCTCGGGCGCGGAATATTTGCGGGAAGAATAATCCCCGACGCCGAGGATGGCGGTCTCGAGTTTCCTCTTGGCGGCTGCACGGGCCATGATCACTTCGTCCACGGTGTCCATCGTCACGAAACGGTACACAATCACGGGCTTCGTTTGTCCAATTCGATGGGCTCTGTCTTGAGCTTGCAGATCAACTTGAGGGTTCTTCGTCGAGAGGGAAAGCAATGCACAATAAAATGCATAAATTATCAACGTACAATATTTAGCACTAAATGTCTGCGATAAACACTCAACGAGAAATTTTCCACGCTTCACAGCAGAGGGAAATACAGTGGGATCTCGGGATACGGACGATTCGATTTAGGGACACTTGGAACTTGAAAAATTTGCCCCGCGGTCCAGACGAGATTTCGAGATGCATATACAGTACTGTACCGTCAACATTTTTCGAAAAATGGAAAATTTTATTTCTATTTTCCGGGTTCTTTCTCCCATCATCTGTGCACAATATAGCAAGACTTGCACTTGTTCTTTGCTTTTTGGGCTACTTCTCAACTGCAGATTGTGCGTGGTTTTCTTCTGCACAGCTGTTTTCTGTACGTGAGTCCCAACATAAACTCCATTCCATATTATTATTATTGTGAATTTATTCCATTTTTTGAGGAATTTTTTTTTCTAAATTTTTGATGAGCAGAAGACCCAATTGAATATGCTAAGAAAAAAGTCTATGGGAAAACAAGATCCAACATGCAGATGATGACAGATTCATCATCCGGAACAGTGATTTTTCTCTGCTATTCCGCGTATTCCATGAGTGTAATACAGTGTCAAAATTATTATTTCTCATTTTTCACGACGAAAATATAAAAATAAAAAAGGAAACAACACTTGAGCTCGAATTCGCTCTGTTCCACTTCCACAATCAGATCATCGACTCATCTGGAATCTTCCAAGTTTCGAACAGGACACGACAGGACAGAAAAAGCTTCAAAGCTTTTTAGAGATGACGAGGTAACCGTTTTAAAAATCGAAAGAAAAAAAAATGCGAGCATACACTCACCCAGTCAGAATCGTAAATTATAACAGTGTCGGCAGCCATCAGGTTCAAGCCAAGTCCACCAGCACGAGTCGAAAGAAGGAAAATGTTCCTGTTTGGATCGTCATTAAACCTAAAAAAAAAATAAAATCTTGGGGTTCATATCTCGAAGATACAGAAATTCGCTTTCAAGATAAAAAATCATGCACAGGAGTAGGTTTTCTTCCTTCTCTTCCATTGCACAAACAATTAACCGATGACAACATGACCTCCCATGTCATACTGGAATTCTTCCTACGCATCGAAAAATAAACGAAAAAATTAATGCTTATACTGTACAGCACAGTAAATCCTTTTCAAAACGAAGCACTGGGGCCAGTAAAATAGCTTTCATGTGACAAAAATTACGTCATTAGACTCGAAACGCAACTCAACATTTTGGCTATTAGACATGGGCCTAAAAAATGACTTCGTTGCAACCGATTATTTGTCCCAACAAGATTTCACTGTTGCAAATATGGGAAGGAACAACCTTACCCAAGAGGTACAGTAAAACTTTACATGTTACCGCAACTCACTTTCCGCTTCGAAGATGCTTTTAAATCATCAGGTATGAATAAGGGGAATTTTATCCTTGAAGAAGAAATTCGTTACTTTTTTCAATCAGAAATAAAATAAGACAACCTTCTTTCGATTAATATTCAAACGGGATTGGAAGATTCACCCACTTTTTGATGTTCTCAGCACGGTCACTCAGCTTCATTGTTCCATCCAAACGAGAAAACTCAATGCCCTTCAGGTACAGGTAGTCTTGCAGCACATTCACAGTCAGCACAAAGTGCGAGAAAATCAACACTTTGTGGCCTCGCTCCAAAAGGCGCGTCAACAAACGGTCCAGCATCAGCATTTTCCCGCAGCTGTTCACTATATTCTCATCCATCAAATAGCCTCCCGCTGGATCCAAGGGATACGCCAACAGATACGGATGCGAGGCACACTTCTGCAACTGACTAATGGGACTCTGCATCTTCACGTTGAATTCGTAATCCTTCACCATGCCACAACTAGACGCAGACGTCTTCCTGTAGCTCATGATATCCGCGACTTTGGAGTAATACGACGTCAACGCGTTCTCGCTCATCCCGTTTCGTTCATAGAAGATCTTGAAGTCCATCTTGGCTGACAGACGAATCGGTCGACCTTTCTCGTCACGTTTCACATCCTCCTTGTCTTTTCTAGACTTGACAATGTCAAAGATCGAGTAGTCCAGGATGGCCTCGTACAAACGGAGTTGCGTGTCCGTCATGCGACACTTGACCAAGATTTCTCGTTTCGGAGGCAGGTTCAATCCGCATTCAGCTTTCACACGACGAAGCATGAAAGGCGAGATTATCTGGGGGGAAAAGAAAAAAAAGCAATGCCGTGAGTTGACAATCAATGATAGAAAGTTTTTTTATGCGCCAATCGACTACTGTACTTCAATTTTTTATTTACTCCGCGAACGAGCAATTGGCACACAAGTACAGAAAAAAGTGGAGCCTCGAGATGCGGACGTGATTGGCTCTCGTGTCTAGTCCCTATGTCATAGTGTCCATATGTTGGATCATGTTTTCCTTCGATTTAATGGGATCTTATTTAATTGGTTCTCCTGTTCATCATAAATCATGAATAAAGTCCCCGAAAATTTGAATAAAATTTGTTTTTCAATTCTAAGGTAGAGTAAATAGAGTAAACGTAGAGAATCAGATTTTTTGACATCAAAAGGAGCCAAAGAAGCGAAGAATAAGAACAAGTCTAGCTATACTGTGCATAGATGAAGGATAACACAGAAAAACCCAGAATGTGCCTGTTTTTCATCATGAATTTGAGTTTTTCTAAAATGAAATTCATTTGTAATTTTTTGTGAATGTTAATAGCTCAATTTTTTCAAGACATATCACAATTTTAGAAAAATGAAATTGTTTACATTTTTCTAGAAATTTCGGAAACGTATCCGTAGCTCGAGAAATTGTCGGGTTAGATTTTTTGAGTTTCAAGTTCCCTATACGTCGAATCGTACATAATTCGGGGTCCCACTGTAACGTAACACTATCCTACCTAGAGTACCAAGACACAACCCAATTTTCGGAGCATTTAATTCTGAAAATTATTCACATCGCGTAGATGTTTCACATCGGGGAAGGTACAGTAGTTCAACGTCTCATAAAAAATCCATACACAAGGAAAGTCGAAGAGCTCACCTCGTGAAATTTGGAGATAACTTGATTGCTGCGCTCCTCGTTCATCAAAATAGAGTCGGCGTCACTTGAGGCGAGAGAAGCGGGGTCAAACCACGAGCTGAAGTCGGACAAATTGTTAAACACGTCGGGCATCAAAAAGTTGAGCAAGGCCCACAACTCGGACATATCATTTTGCAGCGGTGTTCCCGTGAGCAAGAAACGGTTCGCTGTGCGCATCGTGCGAAGCATCTGGGCCAATCGGCACTTGTGGTTCTTCAAACGATGTCCTTCGTCGACGACAATGAAGGACCAGTCAATAGCAGAAAGTAAATTGGCATCGTATACCACGGTTTCGTAGGTCGTAAGAATAACTGGTTTCATCGTTTCCGGAATGGATTTTAGTGGCACGGATTTGTGACATTGCTTCAGAAGAGGACGGCGAGTTTGCTCAGGACCGTGGTAAATGATGTAGGGAATCTGAGAAGAATATTCGGGTGAAATTAGCGTCATTTATACATTAAAAAAAAACTAGAGTCGAATCATTACACTGATCGTCAATTCCAACACGGAACTGGAAGGAGATTACTTTCGAATTGCTCGCGGGGCAAACAAATCCCGCGATGTGAATTTAAGCAGCAGAAAAGGCCTATTTTGTTAACTAAAGCAGGTGATGTTTTGTGGAGAAATTCTAAATTATCTAACAAGTACGAATGAAAATATAAATACTGTATCTAAATACAATACCCCCAAAAAAAAAAAACTTGTCGTAACCGAATTGTCAATATGTGTCTTCGGGCTTTATTTCGAACCATTTTTAACTGTTAGGATTACCTTTCTCAAAAGCCTTCGAAAGGTGCAGCCTCAATTTTGAGGAATATCAACAGTTTACAGGTACTTTTCGACAGATTTTCGTTCTTCGCGGGATTTGTGTACCCACGTAATTTTCTCTATGGCGAGATTCTATCCAGCGTCCCTTCCGAATCTACCAAAAGGTATTGAAACAGATTCTGCTGAAAACACAGGAAGGATAATTGAATAATTTCAACGCTCGTCCGACCAAAATCATGCACAGTACTCCATCGGAAACTGCTTTTTGATCGTGTTTCATGCTTCCTTTTCATTGAACTTTGAACTCTTCATACTCAAGGGACGAAAAAATAATTACGAACGTATTACACTTAAGTAGTGAGAATATGATTGCCTAGGATAAGCAGACACGTCAGGAGATTGTCAGGCATCATTAAAGAGCCTTCGACTGTAGAATATAGAGCATAGGTCTGAATAAACTCGAAGAATACTGCGAGAAGAGCAACCTCTTATGATCTATAACTAGTGATTATTGCAGGTACGAACCTCGGGCGCAAATCGGTCGAATTCAAGAGACCAATTGGTAATCGTAGACAAAGGCACGACGATCATGTACGGCTTTGAGCGAACACCCATGGCAACCAAATGGCACACCAATGCAATGACTTGAACAGTCTTCCCCAATCCCATCTCGTCTGCCAGAATTCCACTCGTGGCAGCGGCATACAATTGCTATAATCAAGCAAGGAATTCCAAAACCCTGTCTATGCTGAGGAGTTTGTGCTTTCTAACTCACCGCCATCCAAGAAACCCCTTCGACTTGATAAGGACGGAGGGAACCTTTGAACAGGGTCAGATTCAACAGACCTTCGTTCTGCAAGTGAAAAAAAGCCATAAATGAAAACTTGCGAGATCAGATCCTACACCTTTCTGTGCAGATCCTTCACAGAAAATGCCTCACGTACCGAATTCATCTCAGCAATGGCTTCATCCTCCTCGCTATTCGCTTCCACCACCTTGGCCCGCTTCGCCCTACCCTTTTGCTTTCCACCTCGCCGCTTGTTAGTTCCTTTGATCAATCTTTCTTCTTGCTTAGCCTTCCTCCTAAATGATGAAGAAAAAAAATACAGTGAAATAAAACAAGCTTTCGGGATATGCTTGATTCGGAAGTACTCACTCCAAGAAAGAGGCTTGCTGCTTTTCAATCATCTTCTTGAGGAACTCAGAATAGAAAGCACTCTTCGAGAGGAGCATTTGTAGCTTCTCATACTGCGCATTCCGCGCACTTCTTTCTGCTTCCAAATTAGCTAAAGCTGATATGTTGTACTTGGTCTCAAGCGTCTGTCAAATATGCACTCATGTTATAATCGGAAGATACACAATACAGTGAATTATGTAAAGAAAAAGTTGTTCCAAGGCACTTACATCCGGCTCTGGGGTTTCGGAAGACAGAGACTTAGCATCTTCGTCCAGGTTTATATCGACGTCCAGATTTTTCGAAAAATCAGACGCAGCTGTGATAGAAGAGTTCAGACTCACAGGTGACAGACGATCATCTTCAGTAAGTACTTCCTTTTTCTCCTCCGCCTTCACGTCTAAAGCTGAGGTCACTGAGGGTTTCTCAGATGCAACAACGAGAATCTCATTTTCAATATTCGAATGCTCAATATTTCCAGGCGAGGTAGCTTCTCCAATGGCAGGCTTTTTCTCTTTGAAAGCAGAGTTGCTGGATTGTGGCTTGTTCGACTCCTGCAAGGGTCGCGTTGAACGTCTTGTACCACACCGCGGCATTATGTCATTCACAGAGGTCAACCACCGAATACTGTCAATAGAAATTATTAACCTGTAGAAACGAGATGCTTTGTTCACAATTTACTTCGCCACACGGGATTCAAAGACGAAGTCCACCCCGCGTGAATTCCCTCCATGAATTAGGAATCACACAGTAGCACGAGTAAATGAAGATACAACACACGACCATTCGAATGCTTTCGTCATTTAATTCAACAGTATTCTCAACAGGAAACACTTCCCGTGAAGATTGCGGACATGCGCGCCCTGCCTGCCACACCGGATTTCCGACGTACACCCGCGCGCCTGGAACAAAGCTTTACTATGCCGGACAGCCTCGCACGAGTATACCATACCTTAGTGGTACAGTATTTTAATCAACAATTGAATGGACGCGGGATTTCTACACTTCACAGAAAAGCTTTTGGAAACTTTGAAACCCTGGAAGTGATTAGGCAAGCAAAACGTCTCTGTCTCCGGCATTTAAGTCAACTATCGGAGAGGCATTCTGACCACCGCGAAATTTGGCCAATCAGAAAAAGCTTGGGTAACGATTTGGAACTTGACACCCATGAATTGAAAGCAATAAGTTATGATCGCATCAAAACTTGATGTCATTTTTGTAAAGAATTCGAAGAGGTGCTCCCACTGCGATGACGTCCGGAGGTTATTGGCTTTTGCTGCAGCCAAAATTCTTGGCGAGCTTTCAAGTAACCCAGGGCTTCTTTAACTTGGGAGCTGACAGTTTTGTTCTTGTCATGCGACATTCTCCCAGATCCTCCAGCAGCGCCACCTTGCGGCACTGCCGCAATAGCCTCTGAGGGAATGTTGACAGGCCGCAAACCTATGCAGGATGATGACACACCCAAAACAAACCAATCAACAAATGTTTTCTATGCCCATAAAATTTGGATATCCATTTCTTGAACTTGTGAAAATAATAAACTAACCAGGGTGGTTGAGAAGGTTTTCTAAATACTCCATATCATTATGCAATCTCCCAAGAAGGGCTCTTGCTGATCCTCTCCCCAAGCTGTCATTTGCTGTGTTTGTTTTTCTCCGTCCACCATTTTGTCCATGGTGCTTCTTCTTCCCCTTGTTCATGTTCTGAGGAACAGGTGGCGCTTCATCTGCATTTTCAGAATGGTGGACTGACTCATGCTTCAAGGAATCAGGTCCTTTTTTATTTTAAAGAAAACGGAGTTTCACATGTATCAAAATGCATATGATCAATTTCTGGTGACATACTTCCTACAACATTAGAAATGGCTTCCTGAGCCTTCTGCACTCCCAGTCTAAAGCAATCCATTTCTTTCCTTGCTTGAGCTCCTCTGCAGTAGAAAACCAGGGCCAATTCGAAATCACCTCTAGCATACAATGCCTCAGCTTTCTGGTAAATTGCTGAAAGCAGAATATTTAAATAATATACTGTACTGTACTCATACCATGAATGAGTAACAGTATAAGCCCAGCTGAGAACGAAATTATAGTAAAACCTCTTCAAGTAAAACTTCAAGGGGAAAACAAACAAAAATTTGACAGAGTTTCTGAGTCGTCAGGGAAACTAAACAGAGCATTTTTCATTGGACAAAATGAAGAATCACAGTAAGTCGCAATTCGGTGATATCATGGGCATCAAGCCCTCAGCAACCTGCTTGATGATGAATGAGTTGACAAGATGCCAAACTTATTGGAGGCAAGGGTTAATTAATCACTCACTTCATTTTGAAACGCATTGTTACACTTCTTATTATTGCTTTTCTCTTTCCTGTGTTGATAAAATACATGCCAAAAAGGCTCCTGAAAATTCAACTTATAAATGTTTGAGGGGAAAGTCTTGCATAAAAAAAAGGTATGTCTGTTTTTCAGTGTTCTGAAGGGAATTCAGAATGGGACAGGAAAAAAATTTCAACATAGGGTGGCTTTTGACTCAGGGAGGTTTGAGTTTTCAAGGTCCAATTATATATGAATTGCTCACAGAAAAAAAGCAGCAACAAAAAAGAGAATACAATACAATAAGTACCTTTGTAGGAATTGGGGTCAATTTTCAAGGCGGCTTCAGCATCTTTCAGGGCTTCAGCATGATCCCCAAGCTGAAGATAACATTTGCTTCTGGCAATCAGGCAATTGCAGTTGCTCGCATCAATCGCAAGAGCCTGTAATAATAAGAAGAAGAACATTGAATAATTAAATCAATGATTAAATCCTCAATTTATTCAATCATTCTCTTTGATTTTCATGCAAAGTGCACGCGGATTCTTATACAGTATCATGATTCAATCTGATGAATTAAGGCCTTTCAATTGATCAGTATATTTATGACTCGTTCAGATTATTAACGTGTTCAATTATTCGAAATTTAGAACGGAAACCAAAATAATTTGAAATATGAGTCAACGTTTCACACTCTCAGACGCAAAGAGAATTTATAAGAATATTCAGAACTGGTGTTTTCCATCGTGTGCTGAATTCTCAATTCACTTTGAAAAAAATTTCTTCGATTTTGGCAAACACGCCAATTAAAATCTTAATAGCACTCTTCAGCCTTCTGTTTCATAATATATTTATGTATTAGTAAAATTTCATTCAAGATATTTTATGAACCTCAAGAATCTTTCTCTGCAATCAAGGTTTGGGCGTTTTTTTTTCGTATGCCATTTACGACCAGCAATCACACTTTATGAAATTTTTTTTATCAGTGCAGTATTTCGTAACAATGAATTAATGCACTGTATTATTCCACATTCCAGTTCCGATTTTAGATTCCTTCTTGAATAATGAAGATTTAATTCTGTCCAAGTTTCTTGATTTAAAAATTATATTTTAATGATTAGAAGGTTGTATACTGTATATGCATGTAGATATTTTTTTCCATGTTTGAACATTAATTATCCCAAACAAGTGTAGCATGCAAAACTCGCTACTAATTTTCCAGTCTATCAGGATTCAATTCCAGGATTGCAAGATTCGTCCATAAAATATACAGAAGTTGAATTCAAAATTTCAGAGCCCATCCACGCAAGTATACTGTGCTTACATGTATGCCTTAAAAAATCCATTGAATGATCATGTGTTTGCCACAGGGCAAACACAAGAAAAGTATCATTCAGCATACTTAAATACACATTTGACGAAAAATAACGAGTACAGCCAAAGGTTTTTGAGTAAATTCCAAGCATTTCCCTCCAAAAAATTTAGCTTCCTCTGATTTTTTCCCCAAAACATTGCTCTTGAAAAAAACAGGTTCAACAGGGCTGTTGAATCTGTCAAGTATTAAAACTTGATTTTTGTTTTTCCTTCAACCTCTCGATAGATATACCGAGTACAGTACTGTACGCCCTCTGACCTCAAGGGAAAAGTACAGTACATAATGTACAATACCTCATCCCCATTTCACCACAAAATAAAACGCCACGCAACTTTTTAGGCATATATTGGGTTGGTTGATCTGGCACCTGTTTTCAATTGTCCCCTAAGAAAAAAAATCATTAGGAGCTATTGATTTTCCCATAGATGCAAGCAGGGAAAAATATGAAAAATCAAAAGCGTCTTTTGTAAGAAACTATATGATTCTGAATGAGTCAGAATCTCAGTTTAAAGACATGGTCACATTTTACAATATAACACAAAGCACAAAAGTGCAAGAAAATACACAACGAACAAACAATTTAGTCATGATGAAATATACAGTAGCAATTGAACATCGCATGAATGGCATGATTCATATCAGGGTGCCTTGCAGAAAATGGACAATATAGTAAAATCTTGTTACAACAAATTTTTCAATACAACAAACTTTTTTCAAGTCCTTGCAGAAAGCCTATAGACCACATGTTAAAAAATCTTGTTATAACAAACTTGGGAATTCTGTTACAGTATAACATTTCATTTTAAATCACAAAATCTTTGAAATCATATAATTTTAGTTTGTCAATGAAATCTTGGGTTGCACGCATAAGCTGATGCATTTTTTTGGCAAAAGAAGTTTTATTTTCGCCAAATTTTTGTTATTTGGCTAAGGGACTTCTGCCAGCAGCAGAGAGAAAAAGTTTGTTAGCTGGGGTTCTACTGCACGTAATTATAAGGCATTTTGGTACAGCATTGTACCTCATACTGTATATGCTTTAAAAACCCTCTAATATGCGCCAGGTTGATATATAAAACAATGGTTCCAGTCAATTTCTGTCAATGCGAATAGGAGATACAAATCCAAGCATCACCATCACAAAGTACATGCATGCAGATTAATTGGATGCAATTAAAAGACTCTCTCAAATTAAAAAGACTGTCTTCCAAGTCAGAAATTCCAGGGAAAGAAAGTAAAGTCAAACCCCAATTTAGTGCCATTGTTTGTCCTGGCACATTTTGTGGCACTAAATTGGGGGTATTGTATGAAAATAAAATTCATTTGAAGGCTTCTAAAATACAGTATAGAACTTGTTGCAGTATTTTAGGCAATTGAGTCTGTTTCATTCAAGACATTTATACAAGCAAAAAAATAATTTGAGGGTAAAATGAACTGTTTTTATTGTATCTAAATTTATTTTGCAGTACAGAATACATCAGATTTTTTTTACATACTAGGCCAAGTAAAAGAGGGGAACTGTTTCTTGCAGTTTTGTATCAACCTTTCAATAAAAGCACACCATTAATCCAAGATTAGGATTAGTGATTTTACAATTATTTTAAAGATAAACTTCCTGTTTGTGAGATGTTCTTTGCTGTGGAGGACATCCAAATTAAGCCACCCAATTGCATGTAAATTCAGAAATAGAATTTGTTTTACTCATCCTGAGCATGGGCTTGTGACTCTCAGTAATAGCCTGATAATATACATAGAAATATGCCTTAATTTCTCTGATTTTGACCCATTTTTCATAAAGGGCAGAACAATTTTTGTGGCAGTGAGTGAATTGGCACTGAATTGGGGTTTCTCTTAAGAACACAATGGAGGGAGATTTGTTCCAGGGAAATTTGTGGCACTATGCTAAGGTGGAACTAAATTGGGGGGCACTAAAACTAGGGTTGACTGTACAGTACAGTACTGTCAAACCCAGTTAAGACGCACCCTGATAAGCCGCCACCCTCTGCAACCGCCATTTTATTGGTACAAAAAACTCTTCCTCAAATCATTCTCTATACTGTACAGGAGATTTACTCTATTTTTTTGTTCAAATATAAGAGGAAAATCAACTTATCTATAATGATACAGTACAAAAGTTGATAATTCACGATAATTGTTTCTATCTGATAATAATACTGTATAGGACCTTGTTGAGAAAAGAGAGAGCCAGTTTGGAATCGCCGTTCTTGAGGTTGTGTTCTCCCTGCGTGTAGCAAATGGTGAAGCCGGCTTCTTCCGGGAAACCCGTGTAGGCCTGGTTCAGGCCCTTTTGCTTGTGCAAACTCTGCTTGATGTCCTTGGAGCCCAGGGCAACGGCAGCTGCCCGGTCTTTGTCGGTGTAGAGTTCTTCCTTGGAATGCCTTCGCTTGCTCTTGTTCCTCGCGACCTGAATTATTGATGGCGAGCATATGTATTTATAATTTGCGGGACAACGTTATTGAGTCCAGTCCTGTAAGCATTTTTTTTTTTGCTGACAGGCGCGCCAGGCCCTCACTCATTTCAAAAGTTTATTGCTGATTTTTTTGCTGAACTTTTCCTTTGTTGGTACGGGTCAATTTCACAATCAACTCGGTTTTCAAAAGAGCTTAAATTTGTTTTCAAGCTTCAGCAAGGGATTCAAGTTTGAACTATTCATCATAGCCTCAAAATGTTCCATGTATGAGAACCAACAAATTACTTCATCTATAATATTAGAACTCCCATCTTAGTTTTCAAGATCACAAATTCTATTAAAAATTGAAACTTACTAGTTTTTCCTTTTAAAAACTCTGGAACAAAATTGAAAAATCCTGAATGATAGACCCTCAACTTGGGCACTGTTCTGCATTTATTGATGAAAAATGTAAATACAGCATCACAATAAAAGCCATCTTTAATGCTAAAACTCACATCTTAGTTGTCAAGATTTCAAATTCAGGTGCAAAGTAGTTAAAATTCCTAGTTTTTCCTTTCAAAAACTTTGAAAAAAAAAATCCTTGATAAATCCTCAACTTGGGTACTGTTCTGCATTTATTCATGAAAAATATAAATACAGCATCACAATAAAAGTCATTTGTAATATTAAAACTCCCATCTTAGTTTTCAAAATTAAAAATTCTGGTGCAAAACAGTGAAACTTCCTAGTTTTTCCTTTTAAAAACTCTGGAACAAAATTGAAAACTTCTCAATAATATACCCTCAACTTGGGCACTGTTCTGCATTTATTGATGAAAAACGTAAATACAGCATCACAATAAAAGCCATCTTTAATGTTGAAACTCACATCTTAGTTTTCAATATTTCAAATTCAGGTGCAAAATAGTTGAACTTCCTAGTTTTTTCTTTAAAAAACTCTGAAAAAATGAAGAAAAAAATCCTCAACTTGGGCACTGTTCTGCATTTATTCATGAAAAATATAAATACAGCATCACAATAAAAGTCATTTGTAATATTAAAACTCCCATCTTATAGTTTTCAAGATCAAAAATTCTATTTAAAAATTGAAACTTATTAGTTTTTCCTTTTAAAAACTCTGGAACAAAATTGAAAAATCCTGAATAATAGACCCACAACTTGGGCACTGCTCTGCATTTCTTGATAAAAAAAATATATCAATACAGCATCACAATAAAAAGCCATTCAAATATTGTAACATTCTGATTCTGATGAAATGAATGTTCCAGCAGGGGCTATTGTACTTCAGAGAATTTCTCACTTATTTTTTAAAAGAAAATTTATTGAATTTTAGGCCTATGAGAGAAACGTGATTTGGCTAACAAACTCTGCTCAAGAATGGATTAAGTTTATAAGCCAAGACCCCAATGTATATAAAAGGCAGTTTTGGCTGTATTCAAAGTAGAACCCGTGGCCACAAGGGCCACATTAATGCATTTTTTCATGTCCAAATGTGGAGAGTCCTTGCAGTCCAAAAAGGTATATAGTCTTTCAAAATTGATGGAAGAAAACATAAAATAATTTCAAGTAGACACAACCATATGCAGAGTCCTCACACACTTTTGAGGGGCCATCATATATACACTGCATGAAGTGGCCCCTAATTTACATTTGTTTCCTCCTTTCAAATAATCATGACTTTATTGGGGTTTTTCTTCTTTCTTCCAAACTAAAGCTAACCTGGCTGGCAAGGGCATTCAAACTCCGCCCAATGGATGAACTTCGCCTGCGCAATCTCAACATCTCTGCAGTGGGATGTGGAGAAGGAGGATCTGGATTGTTATTGTTTCCAGCAGATTCTTTGTCCTTGTCCTTATTGGTCTGTCCTTTGGCATTGCCTTGATCCCCGGGCTTCTGAGCCTGTTGCAATTTCAGAGACAAGTGGAAGGACTTGAATTCTTGCTGGGCGGATCCTCTGCGGACTGGAACGCGGATTGGAGATGAGGTGGATGGACTCCTGTTGAGCAAGTCATCATGGTGATGATGGACCTTGTTTTCCTTGCCAAATTCCTTTTTTTTTTTTTAAAGTTGCACATTTTCCAGACTTTGCATTTCATTTGCTTATAAACTGGAGTCAGTTTGAGCAAATGAAATGTTACAATAATGAAGTGTTTCAAATATTTGTCTTATACGTGACGGAATAATTAGACTGCCCATGTAACGTGACGCACTTTTAATTCTCTGGAGTAATCGAGAATGTTTCAGAACATTCGAGAATATTCCAAGCTGCGGATTCTTGGGAGGGAGGAAAGTACTCTCCCCCCGAGATCTGAGACAGTCTGGCACCAACCGTTACCAGATTAACATCAATCTCCCACTTTTTACGTGCATTATGCGTGAATTTGATTTTACCTGTGTATCCGATTTTCTACGTGAAATCAATCTGTTACTTTGATTGTGTGATTTAAATCTCTAGTGATCTGTGAATTAATTTGGGGTAAAGAAATGCATTTATATTTCATCTTTTGGGATTTCCTTAAGGAAATCCCCAGCATGAACCCCACAGCTGAATGATGTGTTTTATTTTTGGATGATTCACCTTTTTTTGCCTCCTTTTGTAATTCTTTATTACATTATACACTCACTGAGCTTGTTTTGCAGCAGAATCAGGAGTGCCTGGTCTTTTTTGCTGAGATTCTGCAGCTATTTGTTTTTGGAGCTTCTTGGGAACTGCACTTGCTGGAGGCTGAGAAACAGGTTCCTTATTGGCAGACTCATCCTTGACAGACTCTTTAGAACCAGATGGTTTATGAGCAATAGGTCCACGTTTCTTCTTTTTAAGCACCTTTGAAGATTTTGTTGGCACTTCTTTGGTTTCATCAGTTGATGCTGGTTGAGGAGAGGATCCTTTGGATGGATTAGTATTCCCAAGTTTTGGTTCTTCATGTTGAAATGATTTCTTGAGCTTGAAAGAATATGGCCAACACTTGAGTTTATAATTCAAGGCCTCCAGGGAGGGTCTCAATGATTTTTTTTAAATACTGATGATGTATAAACTTGATCAAAGATTGGCGACTTTCTCTTGTTTTCAACAAATTTGAAAATGCGGTATCTAAAAAAAAGTTGAATTTGTTAAAGAGATATAAAATTATCTGAATGAAAAAATAGCTTTTCTGGAAAATTTTGTGAAATGTCTATACGTGATTCAGACATTATCCATAAGTCAAAGCAGACTTTTTTGAGTTCAAGGTGTCCGTAAGTTGCATTTTTTTCTCATTTTATGTGAACTCACTGTGGTTTGGTTATGCGGGACCTCACTTTTAGAGTTTTTGTTCCACGTTTCATATACGAGGGTCTTGACAAAAGCTCATGCAATCATTCAAAAGCTGTTATACAATTGAGCTGAAAAAATTTATTCTTTGGGGAAAACATATTCTTTGTCCCAAAAAAGTTAGTCCTGTTTGACAATTTGTTTTAATGTTTTGCAAAATTCACCCTAGCAGAGTTTTGCTCTCCACTCAAAAGATGAGGCGCCCTTTTTTTGTTGTAGCCCAGCTTTCCCCTCGGAATTTTTGAAATCAACTTGATATTCTTTCTAAGGGTTTCCTCCAGGTCATCCAAGACAATTCCGCCATTTTCATCAACAGCCGCCTTCACAGCCGCCACATTGGCCGCCACTTCGGCGGCTGTCAATGAAAATGACGGAATTGCCTTGGATGACCTGGAGGCAATCCTTAGAAATAATGTCAAGTTGATTTCAAAAATTCGGAGGGGAAAGCTGGGCTACAACAAAAAAAGGGCGCCTCATCTTTTGAGTCGAGAGCAAAACTCTGCCAGGGTGAATTATGAAAAAAAATTCAAAAAATTTTGTCAAACAGGGCTGATATTTTTTTGTGTGCCAAAGAATATGTTTTCCCTAAAGAAAAAAAGTTTTCAGCTCAACTGTAGGCCATTTTCATTGCTACTCCGAGAACTTTTGTTAGAACCCTCGTACAGCAGTACTGTAATGTTATTCAAATCGCTTTCCAACGAATTTATCTCTATAATGAAGCCTTTCCCCCAGCTTCATTGTAACGAAGTTTTTTTTTTCACTAGCATTCCATTGCCTCTCACTTTGAGATGAAACGGAGTGGAGACGTTGAATCGGACAGCACCATGCAGGACTCTGGCAGTGCGTCGAATGACCTTGAACCCTGGCCCAACGGCATCCTCAGTCCGCAAGGTGTTTCCGTACCTGGACCTAAACCGTTGTTTGCTGGACTTGAACGTCTTTGTCTTGGGCCTCGTCTTATTATTGTTTCCACTGCCACTTGTTATTGTTCCTATTGCTCCTGCTGTTGTTCCTTTGTTGGTGGTGGTGGCATTATTATCAGACTTGCCGTGATGCTGCGTTTCTCGATTGTCGTCATTCAGACTGGAATCCGTGGACGCCTCGATGCTGCTGGTGCTGTCTCTACGTTTGCCAGCTGTGCCTCGACGAGCTGCTGCGGAAATTGGCACGCGAAAATTGGTTTCTGACGAGGTGGCCTATTTATCTCTTCCCCATTTTTCTCGGGTTTTTTAAAAAAATTTTTTAATCGAGAGATGGCAATTTCATCGATTGCGAGTTGGATTTGAGAATAAAACGTGCAAGTGTTTCTGTTTATTAGCAGCAATTAAAATGTATTGGTGGAATGTCAGGAATCTTCCACATTCTGGAATCACCTATACTGTATCTTCAGAATCACCCGAGTGAGTCAACCAAGAAAAATATATCCTCTGGCTCGAGGAGCTAACGCGAAATTGACATGAAAATTGGCTTTTGACGAGGTGGCCTATTTATCTCTTCCCCATTTTTTATCTCTTTTTTTTTTTAAATCGAGAGATATCAACCCCAATGATTGCGATTTGGATTTGAGAATAAAATGAGCAAGTGTTTCTGCTGATAAGCAGCAATTAAAATATATAGGTGGAATTTTAGGAAGATATCTTCAGAATCACCCGAGTGAGTCAACCAAGAAAAATACATCCTCTGGCTCGAGGAGCTACTGCGAAATTGACACGAAAATTGGTTTTTGATGAGGTGGCCAATTTTTCTCTTCCCCCTTTTTTTGCTCATCGGTTTTTGTTGTTGTGTATTTTGATCGAGAGATTACAACCCTATTGATTGCGAGTTGGATTTGAGAATAAAATGTGCAAGTGTTTCTGTTTCTTAGCAGGAATTGACTTTCATTGGTGGTATGTCAGGAAGTTATCTTCAGAATCACCCGAGTGAATCAACTAAAAAACAAAAAAATCCTCCGCATCGAGTCTCTCGACTGCGAAATTGGCATGAAAATAATTTTGGCGACGTTGCCTGTTTTAAGTATAACAAACTTTTTTGAAGTCCTCGCAGAAATCCTATAGGGCAAATGCTGTAAAAATCTCATTACAACAAACTTGTGGGGACTTCAGAAAAATTTTTTTATATGGGATTATTTCTTAAATCAAGATTTTCACAATTTTTGATTGATGGGAAGATTTTCTGAAAATTAAGCGTGCAGACTTTCAACATATTCCTTTTTTGGCTTTTTCAGGTATTTCTCAGCATTAAAAAAATGATATCTTCAAAAAGAAATGTATACGTTAATAAGAAGCAATTAATCTGAATAACATGTGTACACTACCACTTTTTGTTGAGTAAGGTTTTCTAAGCAATTCCTGAACAGATTCGTAAGGATGGATGTTCCAAAAAAAAACTTGCAATTTTCAAGCATCAGTATTGTTTCTCAAGCATAGAAACCTTTTTTAACATGAGTTTTGTTGGGTTCATTTTTTCCATCAACTGTGATTTAATAATATATGGCTTTTGAATAATTTTTATCCCCCCCCCCTATCTTTCCTAAACCAGGAAAAAAAGTGTTGCAAGAGAATTTTTTCAGGTGGCTTTTGAATAATTTTTATCATTTATTCCATGTTATGTCTGAACAGCCAGTCAGTCACATTTTGACTGGAAAATTTGAGACTGTGCCTGCCTTCATTGGGGGGTTTTCATCAAGAAATCGCAACATGTTCTAAAAAAAAAAGTTGGTTAGACTGGAATTGGTGAGTTTGTTATAACAAGATTTTTATAACATGTAACCCATCAGATTTCCGCTGGGACTTTGAAAAAGAATTGTATTAAAAGCAGTACGCATTTTGCATCTATTGGGTTTTTGTTCAGAAATATCAACAGAAGATGTGATGGAATAATTTGGTACCTTAATGTACTGCTATACTTGCACACTGACTGCTGTTAGATGGCAGCCATATTAATTGCATACTAGAGATTTTAATCTGTTCCCTTCAAGGGTTTCAAGAAATCAGGCGTGCAGAAGAACAGACAGATACAGATGTGTGTTGCAATCTTGGTGACTGTGAAGGTTATCTTCATCAATTGTGTTTTGTGTTTGTGAAGAAGTGAAAAGTTCTTGGGGTTAAAAATCAAAAATACATTTTATCCTTTTCTCTGGGATTTCATAAAAGAAATCCCCAGCTGCACCCCACAGCTCATTCTGTGTTATATTTTCGAAATTACCAATTTTCGCCTCCTTTCGTGAGACTTAACCCACAGAAGATATTGACGAAACCAGGCTTTCGTTTTTCCGTTGACTATATAGACTTTTGTTCAGAAATATTGTCAGTTGACTATATAATAATACAAGATGGATAAATCGCGCCGGAAAGTTCTTTGCGGACCAGCGAGACAAATGTTCTGCGGACCGGTCCGCGGAACAACTCTTTTCAAGTTTTTCATACGAACAAATACTTGAACAGTGTACCGGAAGCAGTACGCATTTTGCGTCTATTATAGGCCTTGACGAACGGCTTAATTTTGGCATCGTCAGGGTCGCCAGAGAGTTTGTTGCCGTATTGAACGACTTTGGCGTGACGCCAGAGTTCCCGAGGCTCTTCATCCCCACTGTCTGCTTCTTCGGGGGCCAAACTGAGCACAATGGCCTCCACTTTGGCCATGTCTCAATTTTCGACAATCAATCGGCACGAGCAAACGATGACACGATTAAAAAAAATTTTTTCTTCGCGCGTTAAAATATTAAAACCTGAGAAATTCCGCGCGAAACCTCAATGAAGAGGCTTTGTGAAATGCTTGAAATTCCGAAATGAACGATTTATGAGGAATTCTGCGTAATTTTAGTCTAATAATCGAATAAATTGAAATATTACATTTCTTTCAACAATCCTGACTTTCTACAGAAAAATATGGTTAGCAAAAATGTGAGTGTTTCAGAAGTTCCCGAAAATGTGGAAATATTATACATTTCATCGCAGTACTTTCTCAAATTTTCTATACTGCATTAACTCAAACACTACAAAATAAATAACCGATCAACCTCAAATACCTCGAAGAAAAATTGTTCTCAAACACTCACAGTTCTTCAAATTTTCGAGCGCAAAAATAGCTGAACTCTGAGAATAAAAATCCGCAACAAAAATATTTTTTTAATCGCAAAACGCTCCAAAATTTCAGAAGAGAAAATAAGCGAAAAATTCAGGAGAACGCCTGAAAAAATTAAAGAAAATACATTTTTTTTAGCACTCGTCGTAACAAATCGATAGAATCCTGAAATTAAATCCTGTTCAACTTGGTGTTTTACAGATTTAAAAAAATACAATAATTAAAGCATCAATATTATTCCCAAAAAAGACGGAAACAAATTTCGAGACGAATAAATCACACGCAGAAAATTGCTTGCTGAATGTTAAATCGTCACAAAAAAACCTCAAATCACTTCTTAAAAATATAAAATCCACAAACTACCACAGGTAGTTTAACTCACTCTATCTCTCTGATAAGATATTGTCTAAAACTACTTCCTCTGTAAAACACATTTATTGTTGTTGGTTCCATTGAGTTCTCCACCCATTTTCTCGCAAAGAATTTCTATCACGGTCATCTAAATTCAGTTTTATAAAGAAAAAGAGAGAAAGTCCACCCGTATATACTGTACTATACGTAGATCGAATCAAACACACAAGTTTTCAACCTTCGACGTTTCAAAGAAATTTAAAATCCACTTTACATTCTCAACGATGACTCTCATTATATACAGGCGAAAATCAAACTAAGAAAAATTCAGCTGAGCCGGCAACTGTGTGAGATCGAAATTGCGACAGTAGTACAGTACGTGTTTTGCTGGCTGGGTCAATCCCGGGTTGCCAATGCCCACCACACGTGTTTGATCAATCAACAATGGCTGCGGGCCAGGGAGAGCAAGTACAGTACAGTACAATACACTGTTTCCCCTGCACAATACTGTACTCGCCATATCCGTCACCCACCCTTTATAGGTATACACCGCTCTTATATACGAATGTACATGCTGTCGTAAAAAAACATACATTCGCCCTTGAATTGGCAGCAAATCCGGAACAACTCCTGCTTCAAGAACACAAAGAAGTCATTGTATGACATTATGGTCACACTTTTCCTGATTAGTGTTACATCTTCATCCATGAGTATTGTGGCGGAATAATTTGGTACATTAAAGTACCTTAAATCTATGCGCAATACTCTACAATTAATCTCGAACATTCGAGACTTTTCTCATGTTTTCTACAGCTTCTTGGAGAACCAACTCGCTGCCATGTCATGGAACATTCTTGGTCAGTACGGCAAGAGATATCATCGAGTCCAGTCATTGATTGCGTGTGATCATTATTACTGTGTGAATTTGTGAAAAGATCCGTTTTGTGTTTGAGGTTAAAAGAAATACATCTTTATCTTTTTCTTTGGGATCTCAAATGAGATCCCCAGCTGAACCCCACAGCTGATTCAAGTGTTTTATTTTCGAAATTCTGCGCCTTTTTGTACCATTTTTGTTAACAAGTATATATCATGCGTAATCCTGGAAAGGAAAAACCCTTTTGTAAACTCACTCATACAAGAGCACACTTTGTGCACTTGCTCAAAAATCAATAAAAGTGATCAACTGTTTTCCTATTCCATTCATTTTTGATATTCTCAATTTTTTCAGAGTTGGAAAACCCTGTTGTAAATGATCCTGTCATCTGAGAGAAAATTGGTACTTTCCTGTTATCTCTGTACCTTCCCTCTGACCAATTTAACCTGACCTAACCTAACTTCACCTAACTGCCTCCCAAAATCAGTTTCTGCTTTCTTTGGGTTTTACCTAACTGCCTCCCAAAATAAGTTTCAGCAGAAAGCAGAAAAATAAAATTCACAGTTTCTGGTAGGTTGTTGTGATTATGAACTTGTCCTGAAGATTTGTCTGGATGGTAGTGCGGTCTAGGAATGAGGTACTGAGATAACAGGAAAGTACAAAAAATTGAACTGACCTCACATGACAGGTGTATCCTGAGGATTAATTGTATCAGAGTAATCCAGAGTCAATTATCCTTATTTTATTCATTCAACAGGAATAGCAGGTTCTGACCCAATTTCTATTCTATCTTGTTATTGAATCCCTCCTGTTGTGGATCCAATCAAGAATTGCTCAGTGATAATTTCTCTCAGTTTCCTGGTCACACCTGGACAGGATAATTGTGACTTCCCCTTTTTTGAAGCTAGGAATAATTGGATCCTGGTCATGATTGACCTGGCTCCAAATGCTTGTCCCAACCTGCACAATATTATTTTCATACATTGGTGCAGATTTGTATATAAGCAGACCCTCTTCTTGGGTCAGCAAGAATTCTTTGGTCAGTCTAATATCAGAGTCTGCCTGTAAAGGAACTATAGCTGGTTCAACCTGGAGTTAGCATAAAGGGAAGTGTCTTCTGATATTAGGAGAATTTCCATTAAACACTTGCACTTTTTTATTGTGTTTTATGTTGACATATATCCAAAGTTTTGTGCTGGAATTTGTATATTGTTAATGAATGACTAGTTGTGAATAGTAACAATGAAGTGTTGTGAGCAACACTTCTGACTTTGTCTGGTTTAATTCTCATAGACAATAAATACCTATTGAGAACTAGGACAACACATGACTGAAACAACAACAAAAGGGTGGCTGGAAGAACTTTGTCAGGCCCAACCTTGGCAACCTGGAATAATCTTGTTGCGAATTAAACTTGTAATATCGTTGTCAGGAATAACCTCGTCTTTGCGTAATACCCGAGATGCTGGGACTTGAGGAATTTTTTGCTGTACAAGGTTGGTCCAGTTGTGAAGTGCATGCAGAAAGAATTTTTTTGAGTTTGTTCCAGCATATGCTTGACAACAGTAATCCAGTGTTGGAATTACGACGTTATTTCACCATCCCAAAAATGGCAAAAGAAAAAAGGGCATATGGGATGTCTCAGCAAGTAAAATTTATATTGTAGTCAAAGAATTGTGCCCTCCATTATGGAACTTTAGGCAGCTTATTGTGGCTCACGTGTGAATAATAAAGGCGATGTGGACAAAAATATTTTAGTACGGTTTTCGAATATACTCCAGAAACAAGTAACTGAAAATCATGGGATAATTACATTGCAATTTTTTTTCAAACGACTAAACCGACTAAAATGTACGGTAGCTAAAACGTTACCCAAATTAAATTTAAACTAACTAAAATATAAAATTCACAAAAATGTAAATCTTAAAAATGCATGCCTTGAAAATTCTAAAACAAAAAACACGTGAAGAAAAGAAGAACATGTAAAGCTTGAAAATTTAAAACCAAGAAACGTAAAATTAAACACAATGTGAAACTGAAAGATATAATTCTAAGAAATATTTAAGGCTAACTGATATGAAAAGCGGATTGCATTGAATAAAGTGAAGTTCCTCATCTACGCATTGCAACTGAAATTTCTGAAAGCTCAGAATCATTAATTACACCCAAATAAGTATTTACAGTCTTTGTATTTTTTTAGTACCGCAGTTTGAATAAAATAGTACTTCCACAATCGACATTTTCAAGGTATGTCACACCCTAATCAGCTGTAATCAAAACAAGAGAAAAAATATCAAAAACATATTGGAAACACAATTAATTTTTGCATAAATTCTTGCTTGTATACAACCAGGAAAGCATTTAGGACTGCCAGGAATTCTTTGCATTCACAAAAGTCTGACTTCTTGACAAACAATTATCTGACGGTATTCAAAAAAGAATTCTCTGTGAAATTATATACCGTAATTCTAGTCGGATGTTTCTGAATAACGCGACGTTTGCGCGATTAAACCGAATTCCCTGCGGAATTATGTCAACATAAGTGACACGTTCTATATTTTTCAAAGACGGAATGCGATTGATTTGAATTCAAAATGTAGAGGTCACGCCACTGAATTTGTCGTCTCTTCACTTTTCTGGATGAGAGCAGCGACCTCGGTTCGAGCTTCTTCAAAAAGGTTTTGTGAGTTGACCATAGATGTCGCCGCGAGTTATGCAGCGCCATGTACACGGCAACTCATACCATCAACAGCTAGTTAGCAAAGACGCCAGAAAGGCAAAATCCAAATTCATCAAGTTTAAGGTCAATTACAATGATAAAGTTCATTATTTGTCCTTATATGAAGTTAACGTCGACTTTCCGTAAGTGTTTCATAAAGGCGTAGGAGGTTCATAGGTAAACTTTGTAAGACCGGATAGTTTTTATTAAGGGATAATACGTCCCAAATTACTGTATTAATAGAAAATACAGTACATCACAGTGCAAACAAATGCATGGATCATGAAGGGCCATAATTTTTTTTAGAAATCACAGATATCATAGCAGAAAGCAGAAGGTGTTCACTATGTTTGCAGGTCATTTTTATTTGACTAAACAATTTAGAAAGAATCTTTGAAGATGAATCATACAAATCTAACACAACATTGTGATCTTTGAAGACTTGGGAAAATAGGAAGAATCATTTTATTAAGTTGTCCTACATAGTGTAATGTTGGGAAAAAGAAAAGAAGGTGTTGTGGTTTGTACGTCTTTGGTTATTAGGTTATATAAATTCGACGTCATTAATGTGGTAAACCTGTAACACGACTACGATTAACCTATATTAGGACTTTTTTGAGGGAGTTGTATACTTCGCAGTATATATGTATGAGTACAGAAAAATGCACTACAGGTGGACTCTCTCAAAAACAATCTTGTTTACAAGGATTTTCTCTGTATAACACATTTTTCTTTGGTTCCACAGGAGATTCTACTGATCTCCTCAGGTTATACGCGTTTTTGCAAAAAAAATTTTTTCCAAAACGCATTTTTTTCTGGTCCTTTGAATTTTTGTAGCAGAGAGAGTGTCCACATGTATTGTACAATTCCTATATGACTGACACTTCTGGAAGACGCTCATCATGACTACCAACAGTCATTATGTACTGCAAGAGCGACACCTACATAGCAATAAAAAAATCAAGCAGCTGAGAAGGTGAATCATAGAATAGACAAATATGCTGATCAAGGCCTTGCTACTCTTTTATAACCAAAGTTAGAACAGGTAAAAAGCAGAAACAAAACATTGTTGCTAATAAGAAAACATATTCTGTATACATCTGTAAAAATAACATTCAAGTCACAAAGAAAGAAGGAAGTCCCTCTGTGATATAAGTATTTTTTAATTAGCTGAATGGTTGGGAAAATGACAGGAGAAATACCAAAGAATTTTATTTTCATAGATCTTAGGGTTGGAAACATCTGTTTCTTGCAATTAAGCATAATAAAATTCAGTTTTCCTGTAATGTATTGGCAATTTTATCATTCGATGTCCACATGTTGAGTCAGTGTACAGATGTTGGGCCTTATTTATGCCTTTTTTACTGAAAAATAAATGTCCCTAAGTTGAATTTTCCCCATGTCAAGGTGTCCACATGTGGGGGTCTCACTGTCCATACTTTTAATCACCTTAATGTCCAAATAAAGCATCTAGAATCTTGTGAAATACAAATTTGAAAAATTAGGGCGACACCTATGTAACATGCACAGAAAATCAAAAATTTCGACATAATCGGACTGTGAGCGTACCCAACGAACTGCTCTCTTTCAATTAATTTTTCACGAACGACAAAAGAAAGAAAGAAAAAAACGCAGAAAAACTTGCTGGTTGTTCCAACGAAAGAACTTCCGCAAGATGCAAAGCCCAGAAGCAAAAAAATAAAAAAATAAAATAAATGTAAAAAGAAAAAAAAACGAAAGCAAGAACAAGAACCTTCGCATTCATGAACATCCGCCGTATACAGTCGGCCCATTTATCCTACACAAGTATACACAGCCCTACACCGGAAGTCTTTCCAGCGTATTGACCCAGCCCATCGGGATGTCATCGGGCAAATATAGCGGCTATTTAGCCAGACCCAAAGAAAATTGGTCACGGTCAGCACACACATCATGTGTCCCGACTCGAGTTTTACAACATTCCTCCCACACAAAAAGGAAAAAAAAAAAAAAAGAGGAGAAAAATAAAACGAAAAAACAAACAATACCCAGCAGAGCACCACACATTTTTCCTCGCTGATATCCATCACATAGAAAAAATGTATTTATTATGTGCAGTATTAATTTATTTTCGTGCGTATCTTATTGTCAGACCGGCCTTCGTCATCGGGACACGACGGAAGTCTTTTCGAGCAGCAGGTGATCCAGTTCCGAGGATTTCTTTTTTTCCTGGTTAAATATTCCGGAAATGCATAATACGAGCCCATGGGTAAATGTTGAAAAGCCCTCTTGGCCATGTACACAATGATCATGACCGCGATTCCGGCGTATCTTTCGCTGCCCGAGAATTTGAGAGAACACGTGTTATAAAATGATGGGTTTCTTTCGAGAACATCTAGCTCAAAGAGTGATACTTCAATACTTGCATCAAGATATATATATATATATTTTTTTTTTTGAAGAATAACTGATTTTAACAGGTTTTTGCACAAGGGATTTGTTGGATGCGCAAAATGCATATGCAACAAAGTTAGATCAATAGCACATCGGTTTTTTTTCCTCTTGAGAAAAAGAAATTAAGAATCTATCAGAGTCTCAAATTCTAAAGAAATCTCCAAATTAAACTTTAGTCCCAGCACAATGAAGAAATCTTTACTTCAGGCTGATAGTTTCACAGAGCAACAACTTATGACACAATTTCTATGATTATTATAATAATTTTGTGTACCCTTACAAAGTTTAGTCTTTAATACTGTACTGTACTGCACTTCAGTTACTGTAGGTTTAGTTTTTTTTAAATCTTCTGGGAAGGAACATGCATTTCTACAAAGAAATGTAATATGGATGGACACAAGAAACCCCTGATTTTGAGTATGCCTCTATGAATAAGGAAAATTGAACTTAAAAAAAAATGGATTGAAAAGGGGACAAGAACCAGACAAGGATACAATTATTCCGAGATTTACATCAATTCATTTTTATGGATGGAATTACATTGAACATTAAAAGGTTACTGCATCCTTCTCTGAAATTTTCCATGCATCGGTTGCAAATGTGAAGCACTGAGATTCTCAAGGCATTTCAAAGTCAATCACAAGGACTGTCGATTTTCTAATATTCCCCTCAATCTAAAAATCTTGACTCAATATAATTTTCTTTTTAAATTCTCTAAATGATTTTCCTGTCTTCCATAAAATATACGACGGAAAGAGCATACCTTAAAATTTTTTTACGAACCTCATAAAAAAAAAAGCTTTTGGATTTTCTGCTATTAAAAAAAAATGGTTTGGAGTGTTCATGTATGATTTCATGCCGGAAAATAATCTGTCGCTTCTTTGTTCTTCGACACAAATTCCAACCATAAATATTGTTCCTCAGAATTCTGTTAACTTATTTCGACTTCCATGACAACGACGCAAAATTTTCGGATTGGCTACGTTGTATATAAAAAAACTATAACAATAAAGGTTTATTTTCTGCTCTTTTTTCGTTGAATATAAATATGTATTTTGCTCTCTTCGTATACAGTGCAGTCGAACCTCTCCAAATCTGATTTCAAATGAACAGCAAAGAAATAAAAATCTAGGGAGAATGCCAGTTAGGGAAACAAGAATTTTTTGGAGAGGAAAAAAAAAATTACGAGGTATTGTAATTGGTGATATTCGAGGCCTTAAATTGCTTCTTGAATGAGTTGACAGAATGCTGAACTAGGAAGCAAGGGTTCATTTACCCAATCATTCTTCAACCTTCTTTCCAGAACACATCAAGTTACATTTTTACTGCTTTCCTCTTCCTTGTGTCAATAAAATATCGGCCAAAAATCATCAGACAATTCCAGTTACGAAAATTTGAGAGGAAAAAGCCTTAATTTTAGGGAGTTTTTTTATGCATGGTTTCCAAGAGAATTCAGACAGGGGAGTGAAAAAGAAATCGACGCAGAGAAAAATTCAACTTGAACAGATTCGAGTTATCGAAATTCAACTGCAAAAATACAGTCGAAGGAAATTTGTTTCATTTTGCTGGCAACACTTGAAAATAAAACACAAAAAAAAACCTCCACAACCAACTCTCTTCGACTCATTGCCCAAGTATGCATGTGTCTGTGAAGAAAAATATTCGAGATCGAAAAAGAAAGAAGAAGAATGAAGACCAGGTGAGTTGATTCAGGATACATTCTTCAGTTGGTCCAGATGACAGCTACGTATCATGACTGACTTGACTGGCATCGAGAAAAGGAAGGGAATATTTAAGGGCAGCAGCATAGAAAAAGAGCATGAGCACAATACAGTAGTCCACAAGTTCGCTGCCCTCTGTTCCACATGCTGTTCAGTACACGCCATTGCCGGCAATTATTCAACATGAACCTCCGCAGACCCGCCAGTCATATTCCCTCTTTTTCTTCCCTTCCCTTTCCTTTCCTTTTATTTACTTAATTTTTCGGGCTCGTGTGTTTAATACTGCACTATATCTACACTCCTACAGGGCTCTAAATATCTGTCGAGAAAGAAAAAAACCAAGTGACGAGGAAGAAAAAAACCGAGGCTGAGGAGTGCACAATTCGTAGATGCTGAAATTCCTGAAGCCTTTATTTTTTTTGGAGGAACTCCAACTCTAGGATGCTCAGAATAAGTTTCTTATAAAAGCCTGGTTAAATTTAAATTTCATAATTTATTTAAATTCTTCATCTTCACTGCAAGGAAAATTCAATTTCAAAATTTGTTACATTTATAATAAGCCATTTGGATTCAATTACGACAGACAACTCTGGGAACAGGTCTAATACCTGGTGCTTTAAATTGGGTTCAGTAACTGCTGCAATTGCAACAACGAATGAATGAATTAACTAATGAACAGAACGCTTTCTTTGCCGCTTTACAGCGTTCACAAGGTTCAATCAAGATTTCCACAACCAAACCCCCTTCCCACCCAACCCAAATCCAATCAAAAACATTTTCATAACTTCAGAGCAGGAAACAGAGCACAAATTGATAGCAAAAATAAAAGAAAATACAATCCACAAAATATAACTGGACATATGACATGTATGGTTCCAATATGTTCTTATTGATATGTTCCATTTTATCTTGTCCAAAATATGGCATCTTTTTGATGCAGGATGCATAGGACCTTGCGAAGGATCAGACGTGGATCTTTTGAACCAGAATGGCACATGCATGACAAGAATGGAATTTTGCAAAGCAGAGTATGGCGAGACATTCGTCCCAGGAAGTGCTGCTAATATATGCTTGGGCTTTGATGGGCTCAACAGAACATTCTCCACAACAATCCCTGCTGTTGACTACCAAGAGTGAGTTTACTTTTATATTAAGCTTGTATTTCTATGTGCTGAAAATGTTTCACCCCATCAATGATGGTGCTTGTCAGGATATTGCTAATGGAAAACTTTCCTCAGGCTCAGTACTTGAGAAATGAATTTGGAAGAGTTCTAAATTTTTTCTATTTAACAATTTTCAGGATATGTGGGATTTGGGATCACAAGAAGGACCTTGATGCTTCCTTTTTATCCATCTTTGTGAAAATCTCATTTTGAAGGCCATATTCACTGATAATATGTAAAGCAGATCCAACAATAATGCATTGGAATGTAAAATGGTTAATCCATTATATATTATTTATAATGCAGTAATTTATCCATAAATTCTCCACAAATTCATTAAATGCACATTTTTTCCATGGACATGTAAAAAGGCATAAAAATTATTCACATCAAAGAAAAAGGTGCATGTTCAGCATTTGTATGATGATGTTTGCAGCCACATTTCCAGGAAACTTTCATACTTTTGGCCACTGTTATAATTGTCCAAATCAGTCAGCCTGTAATCCAAAACAAATTAAAATAAGGTGGCATAAAGTTTGGAGGTCAATTTCATTATATCTTGTATATGTAAGATTTTTCTTGAAATTTCTGTACATTTTTGTGAATAACCAGCAGCAGGTAAACCAAGAACTTCAGGAATTTCAGTTGTCTTTTCTCTCTTTTCTTGTAATCTGTGAATCCTGTCATGCATCCATTGGTTCCCAGACAAAGGAATTGAATTGTGCAGCCATCAAAATGCAAGTTTTGATTTAGAGCTCAAACTCTTTTCAGAGGAGTTCATTCTCATTGCCCAGTTCAACAATTGGCTGTTAATTCAATGGTTGTAATGGCAGAGTCAATTGTAAGATTGGTTGGTTAGCTCAGACTATTGAATGAGGTAATTAAAGTTAAAAGGCCCTTTATAACACTAGGTTCTGACTTCTCCTCTCAAAGAGGAATGAAGGCTTTTAAAGCCAGGTGCTTTGACTGGGTCAGGAAGAAATCAGGTGATTTCTTCCTGGCTCAGGATTGGCCAATATCAGGAAAATCAAAGAAGTGATGACCACTTTTTGTCCTTGAGTGAGGCTCAGTGAGTCTTGCAAAAACAGGCTTTTTGTGAGGCTCACTGGCCTTGAGATCCAACAAGTTTTTGGGTCCTGTTGGAGCTGTGTCACTTTGGGACACGACAAATTCCCTGCTAAATCATGTGGTTGAATCTGCATTTTATTTCAACCTTCTTTAATTGCAACCGCTATCTACTGTTGGCTTGACCAGCAGAAATGTTGAAATTAATTGAGTGATTTCACGTTTTCAAAAAAATAAAGGTCAGCTGTATTCCTACATACAATGAATTGATGGTATCCATTGTTTCAGCCGCAAAGTGTTGGGAATCTATGAAATGGATGACACTTTTCACACTTTCACAAGCTATGGGTCTGTGATGAATCGGATATTTGTGTGCTTGTTTCTGGCCTGGTTGGTTTCTACTGTTTGCGTGCTAAAAAACATCAATTTTGCTGGCAAAATTGTGTATGTTACCTGCTGGCTGCCGATTCTCATTGCTGTCGTCCTCCTCTTTCGAGGTATGAAAATACAGTAGGATATAAATACAGTGGCCCCCCGCCTAACAGACCTCCGGTGTAAGGGATTTTCGCCAAACAGACCAGATCTGCAAGCAGTTTTTCCTCCTGCCCAACAGACAAAATCCACCAAAGAGACTTCTTTTGGTTTAAAATTAGTGTTGAAAATTGAAATTTTCAATTTTTTATGTAATTGAATTTGTTTAAAGGACTTTTTGTCTAACAGACTTTTCCCTTGCACGAATCAAGTCCGTTAGACGGGGGTTGACTGTACTCGAATACAATTCATTATCATAAGTTGATAAAACGGTTGTGTAACAGGTGGTACATAATCCGGAAAAAGTGTTTGCTTCATCTGATTTCTCCAAAAAGGTTCTTTCTAAATTTTTAAATCATGCAAATATTACTGTATCTGGAAACAGGCTGAATGCCTTATTCAGCTTTAAATTGTACTCAGAAAAGGCCTTCTGTTGTGATTTTGGTTATTCATATAGAAAAAAAAGGCTGACAATTATTTATTCATTCATTTTCATGTAATTTTGTTGGGTATACTTGCTTATAATATCTATCTAGTGGAATAATTTTTTTAAGCCAGAATGTTTTGAATATATGTGTGTGAGGGATGTGGGAACATTTTCAAACATGGGAATGTTGACAAGCAGCAAATGAAAACCTGAATTATATATACAGTACACCATATCAATCAATGAAATACAACAGTTTTAGCTTATTCAGACTGCGTACATATCATCGAATTTTGAGTGGTTTTTTGTTGTTGGGCTGAATTCAGCTTAGTTATGGAGTATGAGTGTAATGGTAATACAGCAGTCTACCCCTGTCTAATGGACTTGATTTGTGCAAGGGACAAGTCTGTTAGACAAAAAGTCCTTTACACAAATTCAATTACATAAAAATTGAAAATTTCAATTTTCAACACTACTTTTAANTCAATTACATAAAAATTGAAAATTTCAATTTTCAACACTACTTTTAAACCAAAAGAAGTCTGTTTTGTGGATTTTGTCTGTTGGGCAGGAGGAAAAACTGCTTGCAGAGCTGGTCTGTTTGGCAAAAATCCCTTACACGGGAGGTCTGTTAGGCAGGGGGCCACTGTATAGCTCATTTAATCATGATGTTTTGCCAAGAGGAGTTCGTCACAAATTCGAGTTAAGGAGGTTCAGATTCAATTTTTTTTAAGGGGACTTAATAGTGACTAGAAAAAAATCAAGTTAGGGAGATTTTTGAACAGATTGGAAGGTTTGTGTTACAGATGTCTGACAACCATTGAAAATTATCAATTTTTTCGATTTTTTGGGGGGCATTACTGATTTAATAATTTAATTTCCGGTGGGATTCCGATACCCAAAAAAAGTCCTGGGTTTGACCGGAAAAGAAAATGGAATGCAAGCCTATGTGGCACCTGAATACAAGTACATGTACGACGGGATGGTCTGGTTCAGAGCTGGGGCAACAATGATGTTCTCCTTGGGTTTGGGTTTCGGGATCCTCCCGAACCTGGCAGCCTACAATCCCTTCCATGGCAACTTCATAAGGTATTTATTGAGACCCATTTTATTAGACTTTGATTTAGTCGTTAACAAAATACAACGCTTTCAAGACATATCCAAAGTCATTATATGTGTATATACTGTACTCTACAGCTTTATTGTATTTATTTATCTTAGTTGGACAACTTATTTGTTGAGGAGATTTCTTATCCTTACTGTTGGCTTGTATCAAATATAGTGCTGCTTGATGAATCTTATAAAAAATATTACAAATGAATGATTTAAAATTACTGAAACTCACTGAAGAGACACTTTTGGAACTCTTAAAGGAGCAAGAAAATTTTTTGGCCTTACATGATTTCTCATCAAAGATTCTCTCTTAAATTGTTCATTGAACTAAAACTCATACAGAAACAGGCTGAAGACCTCATGCTTTGAATAAACTTTTACTGCTGCTTTGTCTTCAATATTGGGGATGGGTGGGTGTTTGCAACATACGTGTAGGATGTCCAGTTTTATTTTTTGGAGTGTGTTCTCTTTTATTTTTGTCATTTGTTTGTGCTTTGTTTCATGCTTTGAAATGATTGAATGTATTTGGGGGAGTTTGGTTGGGTGGGGAGGGGGTTTCAATGCAGGAGTTCTGGTTATCCCTTGTGAACGCTGAAAAGCGGCAAATAAAGTTTTCTGTTCATTCATTCATAAAAGATATTATATTTATTTATTTCTTGTATTCAACAGAACAAACAACAGCAGTGTAAACTTCTTCCTTAAAGCAGTTTGTGAGCAATGAGCATGTGTATATACAGAAAGGCAGATGATAGCTTCATAGACTTTATGATTGGAAATTGAGCAAGACTGGTCAGACTTGGATCTGACCTTATTTTGTAGACTATTGCATCACTTGCCATGGAGCATGACTTGACATGTCACATCATCAAGGACAAGAAAGTAGAAAACACCAAACTGTTACTTCAAGCATCATCTTTTAGAAAAAAGGAATGGAAGGATTTTGATGACACCCACTTTCTCTGCTGGAAATATACAGAAATCTTCACCCTTATTCAGTCCATTTGAAAAAAATACACATGTAAATAGAATATCTTCCTGAAATCATTCCCAAGATGGAAATTCAACTCTATTATTGGAAAGTGCATTTTTTCCATTTGGTGGTATCCAGACATAAATGCAGACATAAATCTTGGAATTCTGTGTTGGATCACGTTTTCCTATAGAACTCATTGCAGAATTTTAAATTATTTTTTTTACCTTTGACAACAAAGTTGAATTGATATACTAAGAATTCAGAAAAAACTTTTTTGTGCTAAGATTGCACAAATTTCACTGCAAATTCAAGAAAAATGTTTTTCCTAATGTTGATGAGCTCCAAAAATAGCTACAAATGCAGAAGAGGACTGCATATTCAGCATAAGTTCAAAAATGAAAGCAAAATAATGCACACATACTGATGGCAAAGCATTTGGACAAACAAGCGCAAATTAGCCTATTTTGAACATTAATTACAGTAAACAATTGTGATAAGATTATAATTTTGTCTTTGCTGGATGTCAATGGTCACAGCCCACATTTTTGGAGATATCATCATTTTAAAAAGAGAATATTACAGCTTTTTGAATTTTTGAAAATTCAAGTGTCCATATTTTGAGACATTGTCAAGATTTTTGACCTGATTTTTTTGAGTTCAAGAAATCCATTTTTTGAATGTCACCATGTACAGTCAAATATGCTGTGAAAATTAGTTAATCCCTCATTACATTTGTATTTTTAATCTTATATTATGATGATGATCAGAGGCAGCTGGCTTTCTTCATACTTGCATACAAGTGCTCCAAGTAAATTCAGGTAAACCCTTGTTCAACCGATATTACTTATGCATTCGTATAATTTTTTTTCAGAGATGCAGTGGGGTTGTCAGTGCTGAACAGCGCCTACTCAGTACTGATTGGTTTTGTGGCCTTCTCAATTCTTGGACATTTGGCAAATGTGACTGGGAAGGAATTGTTCTCCGTTGTTGATTCAGGAGTTTCCTTGGCTTTCATTTGTTACTCTTCAGCCTTGGCAAGATTCACAGCGGTTGTCCGCCCCCTTTTGTCAACTGTATTCTTTGCATCTTTGATCTTTTTTGGCTTGTCCACTCAAGTGAGTAGAATTTTGTGGAATTATTATCAAAGTTTTTAGCCTATAAACAGGAAAGTTAAATCATCATTGAGGTAATGGTTTTGATTTTATTGTGCTATAATGTTTGAATTAAATTTTCGCAGTTCAGCATGTTTGAGGCGGTATTGGTTGCTATTATGGACGTGTATCCCTCTTTGGAAAGCCACAGGAAGCTTTTGACTTTGGGACTGGGTTTCCTGGGATTCCTCATGGGGGTCCCCATGACATTCCAAGGAGGTGCTCACATGCTAAAGCTGTTGGATTTGTATGTGCCAACAACACCTGTCATGGTCATCCTGCTCTGTCAGGCCATCATGTTTGTTCATGTTTATGGTCAGGCTTATTTTTATACTCCAAAACAAATTTTGAAATCTTTTAACACCAAATTTTCAGCAGGGACTTCGAAATATGTGCTAAAAGAAAATTATTTCTGAAAATAGGAATTTTGTTTTATGGTTTTACTTATTCCTACTGTCATTTCTTTTTATACTTAAGATTTTTTCAATCTTTTCTGAAACCAAAGATTAATTGCTTGAATCCAAGTTACGGTTTTATGAGTACAGCCTCATAAAAGGACAAATTGCCAATAGAATATTCATTAGAAATGCAAAAAATATTGCAACAATTATGTTCTAATCTGAGTAATTTGCAATTTTTTAAAATAAAATTTTATGCATAGCTCTAAAACATCAGTATTGATTTACAAGTTATCTGTTCTTAGGGATAAAAAAATTTGGAAGTAAATTCTAAAAATATTATGGATGTCAGAAAAAGCAGCAAAAGACCCTGGCATGAGAATCATTCTCTGGCAATGAATTGTGAAAATGTACTGTATATTACTAGATACAGTATATCAAAGGATTTCTCTTCATTTCATCAGAAGTTCTTAAATTATTTGTTTTAGAAGCATTTTAAGTATGTATTCCCCATTTAGAATTAAATTCCAGTCTGTAATGTGCTAAAAATTATTAATCTCAATATAACTAATTTTTTCTTGAGTCCCTGGGAGTTTGTTGTAACGAGATTTTACTGTTCCAATTTAGCATGGTTTACAGTATACAATGTTGCTGATGGAGCCTGGTCTTTCAATTGAATGATTTATTATCTGGTTTTACAATTATTGATGTGAGAAATCACACTTTGATGACATGAAAGTGATGAAACATCTCATCCAGTGAAATGAGATGTTTCTTACATAGAAAATATTCATCTTCCAATTTTAACTTGAATAAGCTTGTTGTGACTTTCAGAAGGATTTTTGTAATGTTGAATATCACATGTTCTTTGGCTAATTTAGCTTTCAGTTTCATCCTTATTCTCAAACATTATATGTGAGTGATATTAGAATTTTGTTCAAGGTTGGCAGAACTTGATGAAAGACTGGAACCTGATGCTTGGACCTCCATCAAAATTCGAAAAACTATTTCGAATGTACGTCTTTTTGTCCTTGGCGTTTGTTGCACCAGTTATGATCACTGTGAGTTTCTTATTCTAGCTTTCTTGTGTCCAACTTGCAATGATTTTTCTTTTATTCTTGGCAGCATGACTGATTTGGTATTCTTTCAGGGAGTCCTAATTTACACCACAGCTACAAGAGAAAGAACACGTTATGGGAAATATGTTTTTCCTCCTGCAATGGACACGCTTGGTTGGTTCACAAGCCTCTTTTGCATATTGCCAATTCCCTTGGTTGCAATGAAAACCATTTTTGAATGCAAGCGCAATAATCAGGTGAGTATTTGAGTGATAAAATGAGAGAACCTCTGGTAAAAAGAAATTTTCAAATTTCTTCTGTGTTCAATGAAATGAACAACATTTGATGAAAAAATATGGGGGTGCTGAAGCAATCTGGGGAGGATTTTTTTTTTGGGACAGAGTTTTAAATATTTCAAGATAAAATTTTTGCAGAGGAAGTCGTTCGTGTGTTTTCATTTTTTACTGTTCTCTGCAGTCTAGATGTTGCAGAGGTAAAATGTTCAAAATCTCTGTTTCGAAATTTGTGAGCTTTTTTATTGAGTGCTCAAGGCTCATAGGGAAAGTTTTGTCTAAAGGAGGCAATATGAATTTTTTTTTATATTTTTTGGGGGCAAGGCTTCCCAAAATTCTTCACAGATTTAAAGAAATCGGAGTTTTTCGTATACTGCAATCGTCAAAATAAATATTAATTCATCAATGAGTAAAAATGAAGTGCTTCTCAAGATTCAGAATTATTTTATTGCCGGGGAATTGAAGTGGCTGCCGTGAGTTGAAACGCTGTAATTGTTTTTCGCATCCACATTTTCTTCCAAAACAGTCACCTTTTGGATCTAAATTTTATCAAAATTAAATTGCAACTGCATTCGTCATATTAATTCATCTATCTCATAATCGCACAAATCAAAGGCAGAATAGAAAAAATATACGGCATTCTTTTTACATCGAGCAAAAATGAATTTAGATTCTGTTTCCTTAATTTTTTAAGAGTTCCCGAAGACGCTTAAAACATAATTATCAAAATATTCTAGTAACAGAAGAATCAACCATTTTAGAAAATAAGCGAGATACTTTTCACATCCAGCGTAAATGGAACGAAATCCAGCATTTTCCTTTAGTTTTTGATCTGATTTTTTCAAAGAGATATAAGATTTGATTTTTTGAATTACATGAAGAATTCACACAACAGAAGAATAAATCGCATCTGAGACCTGATTCGTGTTTGTGTTCAAAAAAGAAAAAGGAACAGAAATCAATTCGTGCAACTTTCCAGAAGATCAAATCGCGTGGAATTCTGCATTATTTGCGCTAAAATGAAATTTTTATTCAAAATCCGTATTTATTTCCTTTTTTTTTCAACAGCCTTGGAGGTCAATGTTCACGCCGACCTCGGAATGGATGCCTTCGTATGAGCGGGAAAACCGGAATTCGGGTCAAGAAGGGTCAAACAGAGCGTCTTTCTTGTCTGCACTCTCTCTTAACCCTTGAGATTAAAAAAAAATGTTTCTCCTTTTTTTTCCCAATTTCAAACCACGATGTGATTCCTTTTTTTCGAATTGATGTTTTTCTCCTTTTGTTGGGGTTTTTTATTCTTTTTTAAATAATGTTCATTTGTGGTGCGAGGCGACGGGCGTAGTTGAGAAGTTGTGGTGAGTCTTCGCAAATCCAGGGTTTCCTGTGGTAACAAGCCACGTCGTGCCATTTCACGCCGTCGTTGTAAAAGTTGTTGAGGATTGCCAAACACGATTCTTCTGTTTCCGTTTCGAAAAACTCTCTGTATTTACAGGTGATGAAGAAATACATTTTTTATTAATTTTTGTTCAGACATTTTTCCCGTTTCCAGCAGTAAAAAAATCACAAGAGAAATTCAGAATGATTCTCTTTTCGCGAATGTGATGTTTAATTGAAGATTTATTGCTTTACCGTTTTTTTTTTTAGAAAGATGTATGCATCATAAAACCAGGTCATACTGATGCATATCCAGAAACACCTTATTTTCTTATGCCCAGCATTCCCCACTTGAGGAATTTAAAAGGCCCCAAAATGTGGACATCCCAACATGCAGACAATTAAAATTGGTCATTTGGAAATTCCAAAAAACTCAGGCCCAAAATTTGCACAATACCTCAAAATTCCGAAAGTTTTTCAGCTTTTCCAAAAAATTGGGGAATTTTAATTTTTCAAAACTTGTATATCTCTTGAATAAATTGAGCTATTTATATTCACAGAAGTTAAAACTGAATATTATTATGCATTCACTTGAATATATAACAGAAACAAATTAATTGTGTGCTTTTTTCATCATTCTTCATAATCTACGCACAGGTTAGCAAAACTATTACTTGTTGTTTTTATTTTTGAGTCCTTTTCATGCCAGAGGATCATATCCTGTGTGGATTTCTTCATTATGATTAGTTATATTCTGTATCTTTAGGCTGATTTTCTTGGTTTTTTAGGGCTTTTTTTTCTAATTTTCCATGAACTGGAGAACCAATCAGATGAGTTTATATTGAAGTCTATATGGGAAAACAAGGTCAAACATGCAGACATTCCAACAATTATGAACACTTTTCAATCACCAATTATGTCTACATCTTGGGGTACCACTATAACAAAAGACTTGTAGAGGATTTTCACAACTCTAAAAAAAAAGTTACTTTCCTAATTTTTGGAGGACTAGAACAAAGTGTTGAGTTTGTTTGATTTATCCTTGAAGATTCTTCCCAATTGCTTAACTGATGAAACATTATTTGGGAACATACTGAACACCTTATTGTGCTTTAATTTTTTTCCTGTGATTTGAAAATGTATAGATCACCTGTTGTCTGGTTGTGGTTTTCCAAGTCCACCAGTGCTGCTCCAGGCTGATGAAGTGGCTCTGCTTGTGGTTGGAGGCAATCTTGCCCCTGAGGCAGACCAAAACCATCCATTTTCTATCACTGGTTGCAAATCTTGTCTATCGCATCCCTCAAAGTCACATTTTCGCCCAGAGGTCCAAATATAAGGGACACCCGCTGATGAAAAAAACAAATCAAGGCAGTGTTTAAAGCAATTGTTATTTTATGTGATTTTATGCAGAATTCTAAAACCACTTCTCTGCATGGCGGATTTCATCAGGAGATTCTCAGCAGGACTTTCAAGAGACACCAAGTCCATGCACCTCAATCTGCACCAGTTTCTGGCTTCCAGCCAATTCAGTTCATCATTTCTGGTCATCACGTCAATCCATGAGTAGTAATAATAGTTTCCATCCACAAAGCCATGTTTTGGCCCTTCCAAAAAAGGGAAACCTTTTTATTACCTTGAGAGTTGAAGGAAAATTAGTGGATTTTTATTTACAATAAGATTCATGGCAAATAAGAATGGTCCAAATATTAGGAAACTGACAACAAATAAATACTTTTACAAACAAACATGCTGTGACAGCCTCACAACAATAAGTTTATTTTAATTAAATATTTTTGCTTAGCAAGATTTTTAAAAATAATTACTGGAAGAAATTTGAACATCAGACCTGACTGAAATTAATCACATCTTGATTTTCTGGCAATCTCAGATTCTCCATTTTTTTTTTGTAAAACTGATTGATCTGGAAAATACCGACAACTGCAATCATGCACACCATCAGTAGCTTTATATATCTTCATTATTCTCGGTGGATGATGTGAAACCTCTTCATTTTTGGAAGATGATTTGTAGAACCATTTGGAAGCATGTTTTTTTTATTTATTACTGCTTCAATTCATGGCACAAGACCCATAGTGGATCAAATCTGGTATCAGAAATTTTAGACTGTGCCTGCTTTATTCAAAAAATTTCCTACCTGGAAAATCAATTTAACTTTCCTCAAAGAAGTTTGTTATACTGGAATTGGAAAGTTTTGCCAAATACAGGTGCAGGTGAACTTGTAATTTGACCCCAATCAATTGCCAGACTTGGGTCAAATTGAAAATTGGTTGAATTGTAAGACACTTCCTAAAATTGATAAATATCAGCACAAAAAGGCAAAACAAGGGGTCAAAGGAGGTTGAATTCTGGGGCAGAGGTCAAAGTGCAAGTCAACCTCACTGCAAATTCAACTTATGAATTGCAAGGTGGTCAAATTGCCAGAGGTCAAATTGCACAGTACCACCTATAATGTGATCCTTTCAACGCGCACTTGCTATATGGCTTTTGTGTCAGGACTTGAGAAGCATCAGTTTGTTATACTGAAAACTTTTTAAAAATATTTGTTGCAATGAGATTTTACTGAATACCACAATCTTATAATTTTTTATTTATTTCTAGAAATACTTTCAATGAAACCATTCCTAAATCAAAAGACTGCTGTTTTCAAATAATTACTTGTGAAATATGTTAATGACGCATGAATTTAAGTTATGATCAAGTGTTTCAATTGAAAAATGCGTTGATCTTTCAATAGGTTCAAAAATTCAACCTGAAAAATTGATTTTAAAATGGGGTAATTTTGTCAGTTGAAATTTTGGTATGTTTCAAAAATTATTTTTCCAGTGACTCTTCGCCTCCCAAGAAATTGTTGTACTTGTTTTCACTATTGTAAAGAGCTTTCTTTATGCATATACCATGAGAGAAGTTTTTTAGCAATATATATATTAAGTCCAACTTTCTTTCAGACTCCGAAACAGGATTCATTGTGCGATGAATTCTCTTACTTGACAAGCAAAGCACTGGTTTTGGAAGGACCAGTTGAGATGATTCTTCATTGTTGGTGTCCTTATTGACAGTTTCATCTGTTGTGGGTTTTCCTCTGAATACTGGAGCAGGTTCCTGGTGTTGATCATGAGAATCAGTCACTTTATCAGAAGTGCAATTGGATGCGAAATATAAAAGAATGCAAGATGCAGTGAAAATGGCTTCCCGGGATTTCATGTTGCTTTTATGTAGTGTCACTGACGAATGAAGTTGCAACTTGATTCTGCCCGAATTTTTTCAGCTTGAAAACTTCAAACTGTTTTCAGAATCTAGGTCATTTTTCTTAGTTGTCATGTTTTATTTTTTTACCTTGCAGCATCATGTGACTTTTTTGCTGCTACATTTCATGGAATTCTTTTTATTT